GAGACTCGAATCCTGTGAAAGACCACGACGAGGCGCATTGTTTAATCATTCCATCGTTCACGGGAGAGGACAGAGCCGTGTATATGTGTACACGTATACGTACCGGGTCGACACCCCGGGAGGTTCTCTCGTATACTATGTGTGCCGGGCTCTCCCCGCGATATTTTTACCGCGATCAAACATTCAGCGGGACTTAACGGCGGCGCACTCGGGCGTCCCTTTGCGTGTATATATATATATATATATATATATATATATATATATATGCATGCTAGACAACGGGTGTATCACACGTATACAACTGTCGCCGACCAGAAAACCGAGTCAATGGAAAATTCATGATGCTGTCCCCCCCTCCAAGGCGTATAAATTGTTGTTGGAAAACCTATTGCACAATGTATCCCACTGATCAAAGGAAAAAAAAAAAAAAAAAAAAAAAAATCGGTAACGATCGTTGACAATCATCACGTGGATTTCGCGACTCGTGCATTCATTCAAACCCTACATATACTTTTCTAGCAGGTGGAGGATTGAAAAATAATTAAGAGCACAATAAAAGTCCAAATCAGGGGCCACTTAATTTCTTTTGCCTCTCATCGTACAAGGTATACCCATTAACAGATCCACGTTAATAAAACGAGACAAAGGCGTATATATAATATGAATAANGTTACATCGACGCGGCAGGTGCGAAATCTGTGCGAGATTGACGAAAAAAAAAAAAAAAAAAGTTTGCCGTGACGAAAGGACACGCTCTCGCTTTGGTTGCGCAGAGTAGTCGCAAGTCGGTGAACCGTTTACGAGCTCGTATCTTGGAAATTACGGCTGCACGTAAGAGAGCGTATCAGGAGAAAGAGAGAGAAGAGCGGCTAGCTGGAAAGCTGCCTCCGGCACTCGGATGAGAGAGTCGAGTGGGTACACGAGCACGGGAGATAAGAGGAGGGCCAGCGGTAGTCCGGAGGTCTCCCAGATGAGGTTTGGGCGAGGGGGATGGGGGGGGGTGGAGGTACAAGACAGAGCCGGCATACACACACATATATATATATATACCTATCCTACTGGCGCTCGGAGCATCGCGCGGAGCCACATTGCCGGCTCTTGCTAGATCTCGAAGCGGAATTTAAATTATTCAGGGAGTTCCTCCTCCCTCGGTGTGGGGCTTCGTAATCACTCAGCGGCTCAATTATGCATTTTGCTTTATGGCTCAGCGGGCGTGTACCGCGATCCGGCGCGCCCCGGGGCATTATACGATATGCCGTGTGTGTGTACGGGTACATAGAGGTCCATGTGATGCTTAAATACATACGAGTGTATATATACATATATGTACCACTGATGTCCCGGACCGTCTAATATTCCTCCTCTCCGTACCCAACATCTGGACTACCCTCTCGTCCACTCGGAAATCTACATTCTCCCGGACATCGTACACCGACGATGATTGGGCCAATCGTTTAGCATTTCCCGATGACAAGCGGACGCGCACGTTATATATACCCAGTAAAATGCAAAGCGCAAACTCCTTGGCGTGTCACCGGAGCTTACGCGCTGCTGCTGTTGCACTTGTGGCAAGTTATAAACGAGAATAACGAGCGTAACGCCGTTACAGAAGCACAATGCCGCCCCTTGGGGGGGAGGGCCACACGTGCGTGTATATTTATACTCAAGTGCAATGGGTGCATGTATGCGCGTGCGAAACTGCAGAAAGCGCCCCAGAGTTAATGAATTTTAATTACAATTAATAATAACCCAGCCAGGCGCCAACCGCAACCCACCACCCCATTTGCCGAGAGCCATTGTTCCGTTAAGCGCCAGTATTATAATGCCCCCCCCCCTTGCCCCTTTCGCTCTTTTTCTCTTCCTTCCGTCCTTTTCCTCGGTACCCCGCCGCGTCTGCGACAACTCGCTAAGCTTGCGGAACTTCTTATATAAGTAGGTACACCCCTCTATAAACGTATATATATATTTGTACGCGGCGCTTTGGCGCAACCCTTGTATTATTTGCTTGCCACCGGTGGAACCCGGCAAAGTAGCTGCCATCTGCGAGAGCTGCTTTTATCTGCCGGCTGCTCCTCGAGAGCATATACCGCATTTTTCTCCCTTCCTCCCGTACCCAGGAGCCCTTTTCTCCTCCCCCCCCCTCCTATTCGGATAAATGGTTTACCGAGTCCCTGGCTCCTTTAATCTCCGACGTGTCTTGTGTAGTTTCGGTGGAATTAAGTATTATTTAAAATTCAATTATCCCCCCCTCCCCTTGACTTTGGTTGGCCTCGGGGACCGTGCGGTGTCTCGTGAAAAGGCATTACTTCCATTTTGACTGTCAAAGGGGACCGCGACATGCCGCACCCCACACAGCGACCATTGAATTATCTTCTTTTAATTCTCCTTTTTATGACGCGCGTTTGTTCTCGATTATAATAAATAGGCAGGTCGCGTCGTCTGGGATTTACTCCCCTTTCTCAAAGATAACGAAATACAAAGGGATAAACACACACGTACAAGTGCGCGCGTGTGAAAAAATTAAAGAGCCGGAGAAAAGGGTGAGAGGTGGCGAGTGGGAGGAGGAGAGCGGGTGATAATACTTACGTCAGCGACGAACACTCGGAAATGGGATTTAAATTATGGAGCACCCCTCCCCCCCTTCGTATGCTCTCGACCACTGGGTGAGTATGTACGTGTGTTTGCTTTACAAGGGCATTGAATTTCCGAAAATTGAATAGCCGGAGGATGAGCGCGGAAAATTAAACCGTCCGATTTCCTGGGAACGGTTAACGCGCTATATCGCCCGAATTTTTAAATTTCGTTGGCTACGTTCTCTCGTAATTTTCGTAAACGCTAACCGCCCCCTTCCCGTCAGTCCCTTTATCGCTGTACTTTCGGGAGAGTCGTTTTCTTTTATGACGTCGTGCAAAATTAACTAATAGCTCCGTTTTCCGTCTCTTTGTACGTATATATATAAGTATGCTATAGGTATAACTCACGACACGATTCCCTGGTGTAAAGTGATGGTAACGAAAAAAAAAAAAAAAAAAAAAAAAAAGATCCACACAAGTACGTGGGCGCGTCAAATGATCCAAATCTGCAGGGAAAAGCGAGTGACGTCCCGTTATACCCGCGAACGAACGTCTACTAAACGCGAAACGCGGTATTTCGCAGGTGGATGAGACGTCATGGAAATCAGAGCACACGTATACCACCTACAGCGAGACGCGTGAACAAGACAGACGAATAAACAGGTAGACGGAGAATCCGGTGACAGGGAGAGTAGGTGCGTTGGAAACACACACGTATATAACCACGCGCGAGCTTGCCAAGAGTATACAGTATGTGTATATATATTATATACGTGGAGCAGTGGCGAAGATTTGATTTATATGTTAATCTTCGGACGGACAGCTGTCGTCGTTCGGGGGTACGGGTATTGTATATATCCTTCCCTCGAGTTGCTCGTCAATGTTTACTTTGCCAAAAACCAAAGACAAATTATACATGTACGAGGATTTCGTTGACAAAAGTGAAATTAATCCCGGGGTACAGGTCGCTCGAGGATGGAAAAAGAAAAAAATCTCATCGATCAAACATTCCTGGGGCTCTCTCGTATCGGCTAAGCTCGTAAAAGTATTCCTCCGGCTCTCTCTCTCTCTCTCTCTCGGCCCTTGCCATTCTTTGTCGCATAGGACACGCCTCCACGGCGTGCCGTGCCGCTCAAACTTTCCCCCAAAGTTCATTAAACATATAAAAAATAAAAAATAAAACCTCCGTCCCAAGCTTACACCCCGTCCCTCGATTCATTATTCAGCAAGTATTTTAATTAAACAATCAATATTATCCCCCGGTTTCCTCTTCGTCCATTCACCCCGAAAAGGAGGAGAAGTCGTCGCTCGAGAAACTTATCGAGTCGGACCGGCATCGACGGTATTCCCCATTTATATGTCAAAAGGCACGAATTGCACAAGTATATGAAACGGCTATACGTCGATTAGCACATTTTATTGTCGTTGGATATGTATACCAATGGTGCAAAGTTACGTGGTGCCGTTTTGTTCTTTCAATATTCCCTTGCTCAATTGGGCCAGGGACACCGATTGCGCTTTTACAACGTATCACGTTAGCGTGGAGTAACGTTAATTTTTTTTCGTTTTGCTTCGGGCTCTTTTCAGCCGTTACATCGACGCGGCAGGTGCGAAATCTGTGCGAGATTGACGAAAAAAAAAAAAAAAAAAGTTTGCCGTGACGAAAGGACACGCTCTCGCTTTGGTTGCGCAGAGTAGTCGCAAGTCGGTGAACCGTTTACGAGCTCGTATCTTGGAAATTACGGCTGCACGTATATATATATATATATTTATAGGGTCCCCTGCGCTTTCCGTGTCTATGAAATTTTGATCGAGTCTCGCTGAGAGGGGGGGACATTTCACGATTCAAGGTTGATCGGTGCTCTTGCATTCGTCCCACGCAACTTGAAGTAACAAAGATTTTTTTTTTTTTTTTTTTTTTTTTTTAAAAAAATTTTTTTTTTTTTTTTTTTTTTTCTTGAAAGACGCTTTTCATTGTACAATGTACGGTAACTTTGAAGTGCTCCCATCACTGCGAGAACAACTGAAGTAGAGGAAAAATCTTTATCGATGAGTTGGAGAGCGTAACGGAACAAACATCGGTAAGAGTGATAAAGCGACGGAGAAGAGACGCGCTTCCGGGAAAAAGGGACCTTTTACCTTTTTATCGGCGCTTTACGTGTACACCTACGTTCTCTCGATTCCTTATCATCCGACTGGTCGCTTGGACGGGCGTGAAATACCTTAGTCGGTTGAGCGCAACTCTCGGGTATACACTGGTGTCGAGAGGGCAAAGTTAAAGTCTCGCTTCAAAGGACAATAAAAATGCTCCTCCTCGTCGTGTCCGCTCTGCTCTCCGTTCTCTGCTGCGAACGTAAGTTTTCCTCTGTTCTCATCGCACTTTTCAAACACAAAGAATCAGATCGGCGTTTCTTTCTTTCCTCCCCCATGCACACAGTGCCACTGGCATCGAGCGTCTACGTCAATATCACCGATTTCACCTACCACGTGAGTACAATTTTATTTCACAAAACATTAATACCTCGCGAAAAGTGTACCCGTGATAAAATATCCCATTTTTTGTCTCCCAATTTGATAAAAAAAAATTTTGTTGAGGCACGCTCTTGAAACAGGGCTCATTATGTACATTTTATAAATATACAACGATTTATGTGTTAAATTTATACGTATGGATATCACACACGCACATATTGTATAAAACATGCCTCAAAAAATGTTTTTTTTTTTTATTAAAACGGGGGACAAAAACGGGATATTTTATGTGAATTTCCTCATGTATACCCACAACTCAATGGACATGAATGGCACGATTGTACAGTTGATCGTTTTCATAAGGTTTCCAAAAAGCGCTCGAACGCGCGGGTTGGGTTGGGAGGGGAGGGGGGAAAGGGGATATTGACTTTGGTAAGGTTTACGATATAGCCGGAGAAAGAAAGAAAAAATAACACAGCGAGAGAGCAATGCCTGTGTATATATACGCGCAAGCAACAATGGTACCTATACAACGGGGGATTCGTACTGCAGAGTTGAAGAAAAAAAAAAAAAAAAAAAAAAAAACAGAGCCAGAGACACGATCGGATCGTTATTTCCCGTTGAATTTAATTTCGAGGGAAATCGAGTTTAGCTAACTCTGAGTGTTTGTGTGGCTGTTGTTCCACGTGCACAGGCGTCGGTGCGGCGATCTGGCCGGCACGCCTGCAGCGGCGCCCTCGTCCACCAGTCCTGGATAATAACCGCAGCCTCCTGCGTTCGCAAGTACGTACAGTACCCAAAGTCCTTCGTTGACGTTGTTCCACCCAATATTTTACAAATGTGCCCAACATTGCAGCACCAGCGCGGCGAATCTCACCGTCCTGCTGGGAAGCCCCGATCTCAACGGCCGGACGGGTCGACTCTTCCCGATCGCCGAGATCGTGTCCCACCCGGGCTTTGACGCCACCCACTCGACCACCAACAACGTCGCTCTGCTCAAGGTAAACCAAAAAACTCCAACTTGTATCCTTCGCTTCGGGGTGTACTAAACACCCAGTGGACAATTGTTATTACAGACGGGAGAAGTGGCACAAGGATGGGACAACGTGCTCCCGATATTCCTGCCGAGCTCGGAGGACTATCATCTCAAGGACGGCAGTTTGCTGGTCGTCAGTGGTTGGAGGAGACAAGCATCAGAGGTGGGGAATCAGCGTCATACGTATAGGTTTATTATATACCCGAGTAACGAAACGTGTGTTATTTATTCCATAGCACGTCGGAGAAGAGGTGGGAGGTAGGAGCTTCGAATCACGGTTGAGCGCGACGGTGGCGCCCCTCGTAAATCAACGCGTGTGCGTCGACTCGTTGCCCACCGGCACAGTGGAGCCGGGAAAGATGCTCTGTGCCGGCTACGCGCGCCCCGGACCCACGGAAATAACGTGCCAGGTGAGTTGCATCACACACTCACACACGCGTTTATATATACGTATAGCTACTGCACCTCGAACTTTCTGCTCGCGGCCCCTTGAAATTTTAATTTCTCCGGGGAATCGCTGCTCGCTTTGGGCTCTTTCATTTTTCACCGGGCCAAACGAGCCGGATCGTTTGGCTAATGATACAAGCCTGTAATGATGATGGAGCTGGTAACACTGCAGGTATAAATATATGTATATTATCTCTTTCAGGGTGACCTTGGAGCCCCGCTGGCAAGGGACGATGTCCTGCTCGGGATACTCGCGTCCACGGAAGGATGCGACCCGGCAAAGGGCCGGCCGGCCGTTTACGCGAGGATCAGCGCTTACCTGCCCTGGATACTGGATACCATACGTTGAGCTTCAACTGATTTTCAATGTTTGTAAGAATAAATCACGAAAACCAGTCAAACCAAAGTGAAAAGTTAATTTTGCCCATTGGGGGGTGGGTCAAAGGATCAATAATTCTGTGTCTATATTGTGTAAACTCGATGGTGGAAACGCGATCAAACTGGGTGTGATGAAATTATATTGACGGTACATGGCTTAGTGACATAACTATTATATATTATATACACGTGCAGCGATCGAGTGTGTAATTATTATTCGTCTCTAGTTTGATTTTCATTATATATATATATAGGTAGAGGGTGGGGGAGCAAGGGGACTCGAAGCATTAATTTGGCTATTTATATGAGTGGCGCAGCCCCAGCGCGCTTTATGCATAAATTAGCACGAAAGTCGCCGGGAGAGGTGCGAGACGTGCACCTGTTGGTGTATATATTATAAATATGATACATGCGGACCTCCCCCGGCGGCTAAATGCCTTTCAAACGGACGAGATCGACGATACCGTGGTGTACGTGTATACCCCTGATACAGTATATATATAAGGACGAGCCGTTCGATTCATCGGGAGCGACAACTCGGCTGGCTGTTTCCGATTGCGAATAATTGGCCTCGTCGGTGCATGTGTCCGCCTCGACGTCGCACACCGCGAGAGCTTGCAATACAGCACGGGGTGGCGATATTACAGTAGATACGTGTACCTCATAACGGGGGCAGAAAAAGACTGGGCGCGCTCGGCTTCCGGTACGTGTCTTTCGGGGTACAGATGTACGTCAAAAGGGGGAAGCTCGGCTCACCGAGCGGAGAGATATAAAAGGAGAGGAAAACTCGGCCGGAAATATTATTTTCCGCAGTTGGTAGACCGCAACAACGCACGGAAAGTAAAAAAAAAAAAGGGGGGGGGGAAAGAAAAATAAGAGAGAGAGAGAGTCCGAAATTTTCCAATTTCACGGAGATTGTGGCCGCGACCGAGCCACCCTCTGCGCGCGTGTACAGTTATATAACGAGTGTGTACACGTTGCCGAGGTCCTGCCGGAGAAATTGCGCGGCTGCGTACGTGCCCCACCCCCGGAGATGGACGCGCGTTTCCGCTCGCGATGGATGTTGCACGTAGTTATATATATATACATATAAGTAGCTCCAGCAGGTACATATACCCACGTACATGTATAGCTGTATCAGCCATCGATTTTTTGCACTCACTGCTTGCTCGCGAATTTTTTTTTTTTTTTTTGTCCGTACGTACCCCGTTATACAGATACACGTATATATATGTACACCACCAAACTGCCCCAGGACGCTCCCTGGTATAGCAGTCTCTGCTCGCGACATGACATAATAATTCGATTAAGCGCGGGGCACGCAAAAAGATGAACATCGGAGAGCTCGTGTGTGTGTGTGTTGGTTATTTCGAGCTGTCGTCGGGTTCTTGTTCATATTATTGTCACTACGGACGGATACGGGTAATGGGATGGTCGAGGGTACGTGTGGAAAAAACATTTGGACTTTACGTAAACGTGGTTGTTACAATATGGTCCCAAACCTATATTTGTACGGGAAAAGTGCATATGCTCAAAATATAGCTGGAAGCACGCGAATTAAGGCCATCAAGCTTGTTAAATCGCGGCTATTATCAGCCGCAATTTTATTTATTTCCATCCGCGCGTGGCAGGGGAAGTGGTACACGCATAGTTATACAGCCGCAGCGGCGGACGATACGTTGCGTTGTTTGTTTGTTTACTTTTCGTGAGCTGCACGTACGGGTTGTGTATATTTATACCGCAACCTCTGCTCTATATAGCTCGTATTTTTCTAGCCCTCTTTCCGTGCGCTCTGTGTCTTTTTTTTTTTTTTTTTCCCCTCCCCTCATACGCACTAAAATCCTTCCGAACGAGTGGGCTTTATTGCCCGATCTTCCACGCGCTCTTTTTTTTTTTTTTTTTTTTCCATTCCCTCCTTTCTCGATTCGGTTTTAAAAGCCAAGGGGGTTTTTTTTCTGCAAACTGCCGGAAGCCAAATACGGCTAAACCGCCTAAAATGGATCAAAATCGGAGGGTGTAGCGCGAACAGAAAGCCTTTTCGGATCAGATATACATATATATATACGCATGGGAGGAAAAGCCTCTTTAAAGTTGAATCCACTGGATACATATAACACCGCGAGCTTTAAATACCATTTTGGGCCTTTTATATCAATGAATACGACGCGGCGTTTGGCACGACTCGTTATTTTTATTGAGAAACTTCCTGTTTTTTTTTTTTTTTTTTTTTTTTTTTACAATCGGGGAATAATAAATGCAAAAGATACGAGTTTGAGTTTCACCATATACACGTGTCGAGGGATCGAGTTTCGTCATTTCAATCGAACGAGATAACCAAAAACACGACGGTCCACAAGGAGAGCGTATGCAAACAAATATCGGAATTAAAGCAACAAGAAGCCCCAGCATTCGGAGCTCGGGAAATCACTTGAATGGAAGAGAAAAAGGGAGGAAGGCTGTATGATGAATGGGCCGGAATGTAAGAGGGACGAGCACCACAGAGGGAGGATAAGGGAGTAGTAGATCCGAGCGAATCTGGCCGGATCCCCCTTATTCCGAGAGGCTCTACATGCAGGGCATAACTCATTGTTAGAGCCACGTATGACTACCTCTATACCCACAGAGAACGAGAGAGAGGGTATATATATATATGCGCGTGGGGGGGGGGATGAACGAGCGAACAGAGTGTTTGTCCGCCTTATACACAAGGTGGCGAACTATTAGCCCAACATTCCGGATGGCTCTTTTCCGTATAGATGCTGCAGGGGGTACACGCGATCAATCGGTGGGTGGGGTGCCCGATGGCTGTAATGCCAATTACAGTGCATGCACGCGCTCGGCCGCTCTCCATACCCTGTATCCTCCATACACGTGTACACACTGGCATAGGTATATGTACACCTACTTGCCGTACCTCCGATATGGCTTTCGGCTCTCCGAGAGAGCGGCGCCAGCCATCCGGCTGTACAAGTTTAGCGCCATTCCGTTAGGGCTTATTGTTAATGCCCCCCCCCCTGGCTCTATCTCTGTTCTCGTGTGTGCGGGCCGAACGTATATACCCTTGTGCCCTTTTATAGATAACAACATAGAAGCCACGGGTGACATTCGATTGCACACGTTTTATTATCATTAGCGTGAAGCAACGGTTGATCCAAGCAAAAATCGGTAAATGGAATAATTGTTTATTGAACGTAACTGTTATCGTTACAATTGGTGTATGAAGCTGTCTATCAGACGCCCGCGATGTCACCGATCCAGGACCGGAAGGCAGCTACCCTCGTGTAGACCCCGGGCTGGTAGGGTCCGGCGCACCCAATACCCCACGACACGATACCGATGAGAGTACCGCCCTGGACGAGCGGACCACCACTGTCCCCCTGAAACAAAAATTACACGAGTATCATAGTCACATACACTTGTCAGAGAAAGAGAGAGACGGTGTAGGTGTCGACCTGGCAGGCGTCCCGCCCACCCTCGCCGACGTAGCCGGCGCAGAGCATCCGCTCGGTGATGAGCCTGCCCCTGTAGAGGCTCGAGCACTCGGTGTTGCTGATCAGGGGCACCTTGGCTTCCCGCAGGACGTTGCTGATCTTGCCCTCGCCGCCCGAGACGCCCCAACCGACTACCAGGGCCGCACCCCTGCCCCCATCGTCGTCGCTCAACTCGATCGGGCCCACTTTGCTTCCGAACTTCAGCGCACTCGACAACTGCAAGCATATGTATATACACATGGGTTGATCGTTAAGCTGCACAAGAGACCGACGATGGTTCACGTGAAATTACTCACGCGCACGAGGGCTATGTCGTAGTCCGAAAAAACTTGCGAGTAGTCCTCGTGGACGATGACCTCTTTGACCCCGCGCGCCTGGCCCTCGCGGCCTCGCAGCGTCGTCGAGCCCGCCCTTATGCTCAGCCGATCCTCCGGCACGCTGGTGCAAGTGTCCTTACTACTATGCTCTACTGTGGCATATGGCAATACATTGTTTATACGTATATGTACTCACGATCTGACGCAGTGGGCCGCGGTGACGAGCCACTCTTCGGCTATGATGGCCCCGCCGCACCTGTGCCTGCCCCCGTACCGCACCGAGACCTGTAAAAGAGCGCCAACGAACTAAATTTGTTTTTCCCCCGAAGCAACGATTACTTTGTGCACAATCACCTGGTAAGGATGCTTGTAAATCGTCGTCCGGTAGCCTCCCACGACCCTGCCGTCGTCGTCGAGTTGGCTGCTGCTCGCTCTTATCCCTGTTACAAAAGATCATGATGATGATGATGAGCGTGTTGATTTTTGATTGTTAGTTTCCCCTCCCCTCCCCCCTTTCTTTTCTCCCGGGACGCGTTTCTTCGTCCCAAAAGTCGGGGCCAAGTTGTACTTTGCGTGGCGCAAAAACCCCCACACGTACCGTAATTCGAAAGTCGTTTGGTGCAGGCGCAGTGCGACGCGAGCAAGAACAAACCGATTAAAACGGTGGCACGGGGACGATTCATCTCGGCACTTCCGCGGGGGACCGACTGGAGACTGTTTGTCGGGGAACAATTGTCTTTTGCCTCTTCCCTCGGATACAGGTATACGCTATACACCTTGGCCGTTTGCACCCGCTCAATTGGGACAGTTTTTTTTTTTTTTTCATCCATGCATAGTGTATACGTATACATGTATATATACCAGCTCTACTATTGCCATTGTCGTGAAAATAATGATGATTACGGTAATAGCGGGCGCAGCGCGGCTGCTATGACGAAACGCCGGTCGTTAAATCGTCGTTTATCGTCTGCGACGAATGGCACTGCTGCTGCATTATAGTTTTGAGGGACCGATTGTTTTGCGTCCGAGCTGTGTGTGTTACGTTTCACTTGGGATAGAAAAAAGTCCATTATTGCTGTATTATTCAGCCAACCAAGAAGGAGAGGGAAATAAATTATCGATCGGAGTACGCGTTATTGATGCGGGGAAAGTGTGCTCGTTGGAAAATAAACGGCACCGGAATGAGGCATCTATAAGTATAAGCAAGAATCGACGAAAAATTCAACATCGTGAAAAACACGAGCTTTTTTTCTTTCTTTTTCTTTTTAGCACAGAGTTATACTTTCCATCAATGAAATTCTCAGGTCTTTGATTCCCGCGTGCAATGATTTTGTACGCGTATGTATTGTGCGAAAGCGCAGACAACGGACGAGGGAAGGGATGCACCCGCACGCCACGGATATACCGAATAGCGTCGGACACACAACGGGGCGTCGAGCGAGGGGTCTTCCCCGACAAAGGTGTCTCCTATACTCAAGGCCGGAGATAATTCATCGTTATCTCGGCCGCCCATTCCAGTGTAGTGTCGCGCGGGGGTGTTAAGCCGGCTGTAGTACATGCACACGTGTACCACGCGTGTATAGAGCCCCGTCTATACGCGAGAACGAAAGGGAGAGAAAGAGGGGGTGAGGGTAGGCCAACTATTAGCCGACATTCCTGATAGTCCCCGTCACTATCGATTACCCTCGGAGCTGTGAGTCCAAATTACCCCCTTATACACGGAGGGGGGGGGGAGGAGGATGCATGCATGCACGCGTCCGTGAGGTGAAAGATGGCACGGGCGTGCATGCCGTGCACGAATATATATTTCCACCGGCGGTGCACTTACATCTCTCGTGCACCCCCGTGTCATTGACTTTATTATATTATATACCTGCGCTCCATTGGGTTTTTGTATGATCGATCTGCCGTTGAACTGAAAAAGTAAGCCTGGATGGATAAAATAATATACCTACATGCAAAGTTGGTATGTATACGGATACGTGAATTAACGAGCCTTTAATGAAGAAGGACGATCGGAAAGACAAAAGGAGGGTGAGTTACTAATGGAAATGGAGAATCGATGTATTTATATATATGAATGTATACGCCTGCAGGTATTTTATTGTATATACCCTTTTTTGTTTTTTCATACGCGCTTGTGAATACTTTTTGATGCGCGTTAATGAAGAGCCATAAACTGCAGCGCGGGGTAATCCGAGCCGTGCACATAAATGTTTTATAACTTTTTTTTTGCCTTGAAATTCCGGTCGATAACGTAGCGTTACGCAAATTATCTGATGTACAGTTCGTAAAAATAAAATTTTTTCTAATTGAAAAAAATATTTTTTAATTGCTACGAATTGTCATGTTCCACGTGACGTCTAAAAATGCTTATTTTGTCTATTAAATGGTTAAAATTGGTCCACGATGCATTTTACATTGTTAATAAAAACGCTTTCCTTTTTTTTTAGTTTACGTATACATCACAAAATAATTAATACGTCGAAATTAAATTTTTACCAAATATTCCTGGAAGAATGAACATTTTAATTACTGTAACGTTGAATTTCGGAAAAATAGCAGTTTTTGTAAAAATAACGAGGTATTTCTCAATTTTCACAAAAAATTCATAGAACATATTTGTATTTATTTACATTTTTTCTAAAAAAAAAGAATAAATAAAAACAAAAATAAAAAAATAAACAAAAAAATTAAAATCTGAAAAGCTTTGCAAAAAATGCATTGACAAAAATTACATAAAATTGTATTTGTAAGGACTTCCGGAAAAAGGGTGTGCACAAGCACTTTGGAATAAATTAACCTAATCAATTTTGCTCCCTTCTGATTATAAACTTATAAAATCCATAAACCACGGGAGCTATCGCATTAATCGAAATCAAAGCTACTACATTATTCGTCGCTAAATCGGTAGAGCTTGCAGCACCTGCTCTGTACAATGGATAGGTACAATACTATACGTGGTATACATGTATGGAGCAATCGTGGTGTAGCAATTGGCCCCTTGTACACGGACGGCAAGTCTCCAAGAAAGTCTATTTATAAAAATGTGCACGCTTTGTATGTATAATACATAAAATGTACGCTCGATATCCATGAGTGTATACGCACATATGCGTGTACTCTTCCTAACATTGTTTTGTAGTTTGCCTTCTATTGATGTGCGTACTTACACCTATAACTTTTTGACATACTTTTCGTTTACGCCTCCGTTTATTGTGTACACCGACACGTATACAGTTATCGACCCGAAAAACTATATCCGACAACATTTCTTTTTTTTTTTTTTTTTTTTTTTTTTTTTTTTTTTTTTTTTTTTTTTTTTTTTTTTTTNTTTTTTTTTTTTTTTTTTTAGTCGCATCGACCCTCTGCCGCTATTCCGGGTCACTGGATCCAGGAATAATTAACTAGCGTTTTCATTTGATTAAATGTTTTTCCGTGTCAACCGGAGTTCCGGACGACACTCTTCTCCAAGGAAGAAGGGACCTAGGTGTCCATTCACCCTGAATCTCGACAAGTAAAAAAAAAAAAAAAAAAAAAAAAATTCCAAACACTGCAGATGGAGTACTGGTTATTGCAGAATAAACAATCGACTTTGTATTCTTCATCCGTTTTTTCTTTCACGAATCTACCAGTTCAATTTACGATCCACATATGATTCCGAGAAATTATTCATGCGCGGGTAGATTATAGCCGTTTGAAGCGCGTACAGGTACACGCACACAAGTGGTAATTTGAAATTAATGAATCCGAGCTGTTCGTGCGGACGAACTGGTGACATACTTTATGTATTGTGTATTGTATACGGTTGAAATTTAAGCGAATAATAAATAAACCAAACGATCGATACACCGTTCGAAAGTCCCCGTGTAAATAAACGAACCGAGTGAGAGGGAGCTTTTAATCATACGATCTACCCCGAGCGCACCTCGTTTCGATAGATCGGCTGACCTATAATTATGTTTGTCTCAAATTGCACCCCCTTGCCGGTCACATCAAATCGTCAAGCTGTTTTTTAATTGTCCATCGATTCGTCTTGCACGTCAATGGTACAAAGCAATTTACGTAGATGGAGAAAGGATCAGATTGCGCGCATACAAGGTACATACATGTAAGGGTTGATGGAAGACCCGGGCTTCAGCGTAACTGCACGCGAGAATTAATAAACTGGCGACGTGGATTATTAATCGAGGATGCGAGGGATCGGCAATCTGTTGGAGCTACCACCGCCTACCAGCCGACAGATTAGGCGCATATTAGCCCGGACTGGATGAGAGGAGGAGGAGGAGGATGCCGAGATTATCCGAGAGAGAGGCTTGCAATCGCCTCATAGAGAGAGATTCGTTGTAATCTCCGTTTGAGGAGTTGCAGCCCTCGTTCGCGTTAATAGTAGACACACACACACACACAGAGGTATACATATATATGGGAGTGCGCGGTGGCTCGGTCGGCTAGGTCGTGGATTTGCACGCGGGAGACCGTGGTTCGATTCCCGGCCAGTGCGACATTTTCGGGCAAGTATACCTCTGTGATTTTTCACATGTGCTTTTTCACCACGCAATGCTCCTCGAGGAGGGTTTAGGCAGCAAAAATTGCCTAATTTCCCCTACCCCCCCTCCCTGTAATGGGGGGCCTCCCATCCCTTTCCTTGTCCCTTTCCCAAGTGCTAAGTGCCCATAGTAGTGCCCTTATTAAAAACGAGCCGGACGTAGAGCACTATAATATAAAAAAATATATATATGTATTAGGACGCGGTATACGTGCACCGGCTCTATGCCACACTTTGGCCGTTTCATGTATTCCTGATGCGCCCCAACATCATGGTGTATGCAGTGTATGCGGCAAAGCACGAGTATGGGTCTTAGGCTACCTGAATGCAACAGCATGCACAGTCTTCCCCCTACCCCCCTGCAAACTTTGTAATTACCATCGTTTCGGCTCTTCTCCGGTGTAATGCTATATAAGTACCGAGAGCACAGTGGCGTGCCCATATATATACTTACATGTAAAGACTATCCCACAATCGGCTGGCAGCTGCCACGGGCTTTAATAAATTATATCGTTGCTGTTATCATTTGTATATTATATTATTACCCGCATTATTATAATGTGCTGCTATTTATTTCCGTGTATAGTCATAAACGGCAACTCTCTCTGCTTTACTATAACGTGCTGTCCTCGATACTTACTCGAGCGCTGCATCGCTATTACGTGTACCTACTCTTTGCACCTGCAATTTTGCATGTACCTATACGTGCAAGGTATATTTGACGGCGGCCTTTCTCTTGTAACTCTGTGTATACTCGAATTTTTATAAATCCGTGCCTACGGGGCAAAAAGTGCACTAGTACATACGATCGATTCTTACCCAAATGGTTATTTTATTGTACAAAAGCATGATAGACGTACACGAGTTATCGAGAATGACGAGTGTATAATATATAATTTAAGCCAGAGGTAAAACGTTGCGCATTCAATTGCGAAACGGCCCGTCCGATACACGCGCGTATATATAGTTTAATGTGTATTGTGCGCATCGATGACGAAGACGGCGAGCGATTAGCGGTGATGAACTCGTTGTAAACTCGTACCACCACACATTCATACGTAGCTGCTCTCTTTCCTCGATAAGCATACACGTCGTATAATATATATGTACACCTGTATATAGCTTGTCTCGCGGCGCGGGGGGTGTGCTCCGGTGCAGCCTGTCAATTAGCATAATTTTCCAATTACTCGATCGAGTTCCCTAAAGTTGAGCAACGCCGACGACGAGAGGCCGACTGACACGTTTGATCGATGCTTAGAGCTCACGGGCTGCCTCCACCTAATGAAATTTCATGACGCCGTTTACCCCCCCCCCCCGCTCATCCTCCACCCTCCCGCATAATACAATGTGACCCTTATCGCTGGCTGGCGTTGGATAAACAAGGAGGAGGGGAAAAACTGCGCAACTTTACAAAATCATCGCTCGGCGGCCGTGGTGATTGTTATCTTATCGGGTTCATCGACATCACCTCCGAATCTATACGCGCGTGAATTTTCAGTCGTCTCGCGTACCACTCGTACAAGTGTATACTCTATCGGAGGAGGGGACGATCGTCCCTGACGAGGATTCACGTGTTGACGCGAGAGGAAAAAGGAGGTGCGGCGGGTGGGTGGGATCGCTTTGCCGGATTACGTATTAATACAACGGCATCGTCTGAAAAATGCATGAAAGTTCGTCCTAGCGCCGCGGACGTAGCCCCTCGCTGATTATGCAAATGATTATTTTAGCAGTGGCGCCCTAGTTGACCATCGGATTTATATGCTAATGGGCCATTGCCCCCCTACCCACCNTGTTCTCATACTTTCCTCCTTTTCCTTCCCTGTCCGGCTTTCTTTCCCGCAGCTCCTCGTAAAGCTCCAAGCTGTTGCTCCTCGAGCTACTTGTTCATTGTTTCTTCCGAAAAATTCGTTTTTTTTTTTTTTTTTTTTTTTTTTTTTTTTTTTTTTTTTTTTTTTTTTTTTTTGTTACCTACGTATATATATATGTATACAACCCCCGGCTCGTCTCCACCCTCTGGTTGATACGTATATATAGCTGGGCTCTCGGAATATTTGTAAAAAGCACGAGCCAGCCAGAAGCAGCGCAGCTCCACTCGCCAGAAGTGCGAATGCCTCTCCCACTCGGTTTCTTCTCGCTCCCCGCCTCCACTGTACGCTATATGTACTCTCTCTCTCTCCATTATCGATGCGTTTTATGGCGCTTGGCATATTTCAATGCATAATTTATGCCAGCGACACCACCGGACACCACCATTTGCATATTTATAGTTATGTTTATAAAAACATTAATGCAGAGACGTCTATCTGCAGAGTCCTCCTCCTCCTCCTCCTTACGACTATATACTTCATGCAAACTATTTTACCGTGCAAAATCTGCGAAAACGAATAGACGTTGTATTGAAGACGATGGTAACAACCAGCTATGGTATCCAGATAATATTTAACACTTTTTTTTTTTTTTTTTTTTTTTTTTAACGAGGACTGTGGTGGAGTAACTCGTATTTGAAGCTTTTTGTTCAAAGTGCGCACTGTGATAGGAAACAGCGTCACCTGTAAGAAGAAAAAGTCCATAAATAACAATAACATGATCGATAAGACGCGACCGCGCATGAAGAGAAAAATAAAAACACGTGAGTTTACTACCGCACGAATGATTCACAGTGAAAATCCATTGTGAAACGCGTCGCTTCGCATTGGGAGGGTTTTTCCCCTCTCGCCTATATAAACAACTTTTCTTCGGACAAACATGCACACAAGAGCACTCGGTAACTCATCATGTTGCTGCCGATATTGGTTTGGTTGTTCGCGCGTGGGTGGACGATTTGCCGCTGTTACGGAATCGGGGATGCGTCGCTCGACTCAAAGTCCACGTGGAAAATCATCAACGGAGAGCCCGTGGACATCAAGGAGTTCCCTTACATGGTGACTTGTGAAACAAAATTTTTTTTATTTTTCATATTACTCTCATTAGCGTATTATTTACATTAACTATATCTATCACAAGCCATATTTTCGAATAAAGTATCACAATAATTATGTAAATAATCACAAAATATTATTCTGATACTTTCTTATGAGTTGAGAAGTTTTAATTATTAATAATTAAACACCCAAGAATACTAAATTCAAGCTTAAGATATATTCAAAAAGTTTTTGTTTTTTTTAATTTTCTTANTTTTTTTTATTTATTTTTTTTTTCAACACAAACAAAAGAAATTAACGAGCTCCCCTCCCCCTCTTTCTGTTTGTACACGCTTGTGTACATGTTCACTTTAACGAGGACAGCGATGCTGTTCCCTTTGTTATTGCTTTTCTTTTTTTTTCAATTCTGTTTATCAAAGAGAAAAGAGCATCACAGTCTAAAAGTGTAAAACATTTTAACAAAAGAAAAACATAAATAAATAAATAAATAAAATCTCAAAAGGTATCCCTGCAGTACAACGGTACGTTCTTCGGACACGACTACGATCACTTTTGCTGCGGTAGCATCATCAGCGACCGATGGGTCATCACTTCGGCCCAGTGCTCTCAAGCGTGAGTCTCAATTCAATTTTCCCACCAATAAACTCATCCACGCAAAAAAAATATATACCCATATATATGAGCTATTTCAGTCGTTCGGTCGACCATTTCCACGTGAGAGTCGGATCATCCGAGTACTACAAGAACGGAGCGATCCACAAGGTGGAACAAGTCCTCGTTCACCCGAATTTCGACGAGCTCACTCGCGACTACGACGTCGCTCTGTTAAAGGTCACTTTTCATCTCCATTTTGGATCCCTTTTTTGTATAAATGTATCATCACCTCGTAATAAACCTGCACCATACAACTTCAGCTGAGGACCAAAATCACGTTCGACCAGACCACCGGACCGATAAATCTGCCAAAGAGCTGCAACGTGCCACGCACGAATTTAACGATCGCCGGCTGGGGAGCGTCCAAGGTATTACTCATCGTTGTATCGAAAAAATCGTCCGTATAGATAAATCCTCGGCGTTTCAGCTGTTGGGCCCAATGTCGGACAAGCTGCTCGCGAGCAGCGTCGAGATGATCCCGCGCACCGAGTGCCAATCCATCTACGGCTCGAATGCGGTGACGGAGCATATGTTTTGCACCTTCACCGAGGGCTTTGGGCCTTGCGTCGGGGACTCGGGCTCGCCGGCCGTCTACAAGAACAATCTGATCGGTAAGGCCGATTTTTCTCTTTTTTTTCTCTTTTTTTTTTTTCAGTCATTCAAGGTAACATTGTTCTGGTGCAGGTCTGACGTCGTGGAGTTACGGGTGCGCCTACGAGAACCCGAGCGTCTACCTGAAAGTGGTTAGCGTCCTCGGGTGGATAAAAGAGCACGCCCGAGCAGGCGAGAAAAGCCAAAGAGGGAGGGGGACGGGAGTAGGAGTTCATTAGTTGAAGCTGGAGGAGGAGGGCGTGTGGAAACGCATCGTAACAACCGAGGAGAGAAGTGATTTGACCCGGGGATATGAGTAGGTACTTGGTGCGCGGCGCTCGGAACCACATCGGCAGCAGGTGCTCTCGTGCGCGTTGCAGGGATATGCCTATTGCGCGACGACGATCCACCCACCCACCGCCGTGTAAGTGTACAGGTATAGCTGTGGGGTTCGAGCTCGCGAGAGGCTATTACAGAGGCTGTGTGTGCAATTATGTGTCTCCCCCCCCCCTTGTTTGTATTGTGTGTGTATGTATGTGTGTGCGCGTGGTTGGCTGCTTGAGCGTTTATGTGTGCCAGCACGGAAGTTTCCCTTAATAAGCTGCACCGCCAGCTCCGAGTTCACTGTACCCTCACGCGGGTTTCTGCTTACGTTATTACATTATATTGCACGCCCACACGTACGAATACCCCTCTGCCGTAGCCTGTCTTACTTCCCCCCCACCCACCCACCCCTCTCTTTGCGTATCATCGTGTACACTTTCGCGCGAGAAACGTGATATTATTTAGCGCGTTATCATTTGCCCCCCTCCCCACGTTACTTTACTTGCGTATAATACACGGAATAACTTGTACTTTCTCGCTAACCATATCATTTTTTTCCCCCTCCCTCCCTTCCTTGCTTTAAATCATATTGTTCCATCCTCGTGAAACTTTTATCAGAATAAACAGGGGGGGGGGCTTTTTGCGTTGTTCATTTTTTTATGCCGGATAAAAGTTTTTTCGGGGATGGGTACATAAACGCCGATTGTTTGTGCACACTCGGGTAAATTGACATTATACCGAGAGGAAAAAGGAACTTTGCCGAGGCATCGGTAAACTTTGTTATAAAAATTCAAAGAGAGAAGTAACACTGGAAGATTAATAGGGTCTCTCTCCCATAACAGGGGGGGTGGTTGGGGGTTGGGATTAATAGAAAGGAAGAAAAACAAAAACAGATCCACGAAAAGTTTCAATCTTTTGTCGGGGCCATTTCGGATGATGAAAAGTTGCGTGAATAGCGCGTTCCGCAAAGCTGAGATAAGAAATTAATATTATGAGCTCTCGGCCGGGAACGGGAGAAAAATACAGAGGGAGAAAGCTATAATGTTGAATTGATGTCGCGAAACGAGATTAAAAGGTCGCGATGAGTAGACTCGGCTCCCTTGCGCGAGTAGGTGTATATATATACGCTTGTGTGTGTATATGCATGTACACGAAGTACATGTGTATGGTGAGCTTTTTCCATTCCTTTCCACCCCCACCCCACTCTGCTTCCTTGCGACCACCTCATCTCCGGAGCTCTGGCTTTCTTGCCAAGAAGACAGACATTTCTCGGTAGCTAATGAAAATTTAAAAGCATTATTAAGGTGCGTCGGGGCCGCCGCTGCTGGCATTGTCGCCACTCCTTACACGAAAGAGGAGCTGGTAACAAATTTCCAATTTGCAACTCCATTCTCGCGCTAGCCGGCCAACGAAGAGAGAGAGAAAAAAGAACGTGTAAAAAGCGCAAGGAGTTGCATCCAACGAGAGGAAAACTTGGGAGGGGGGGGAGGCGCCCTCGTGAATGATAGTGACATTAGTTAAGATTACTAAGAGCCGTCGGCCGCCAGTCACTGAACTTTCATGAAGATTCAGCCTCTCGGTGTGCGCTATGTACAGCTCCTGCACCTATTTTCCCTCTCTCTCTCTGTCTCGGCAACCCCGGGAAAAAATATACGAGGGCCTACATGTACAGCTTGGCAAAAGATGACGGGGCCGCGATGACTTTGAATTCGCCGTCCATTAGTAAAATTTCCCTCTCCTCACGTACTTTTCATTTGCCGTGACAAATGATCGGCATCCTGTCCCTCTCTCCGGTAGGGAAAACCCGACGGGCTTACACATTATGCACTATATATTACACCGGCGTGACTGATACTCCCCATTTTCAAGGGGGCTGGGAGGGGGGGGGCGGAAGGCCAATTTTGATTTAGTAGAGACAAAGCAGCGGCCCTCCTCTGCGACGCGAAAGCCCTGGGCTCGTTTTTCTCATCCCCCTCGCCACCAGCTCTCTCTCTCTCTCTACGCCCTGCAGCTCTTTTGCCCGCACGTGTGTGTGTGTGTGCATAACTCGCGGAAAATAAAATAAACTCGACGTGAAAATATCGCTCGCTTCCTTCCCTCGGATCTACAATTTTATTTCGTTTCGTCATATTTTCCGACGCTAGGGAGCACGAGACGAAACCGCCTGCGTTTTGGATAGCGTTTTTTTTTTCTTTTGTTTTTTTATAAATATATACTGCAATGGAGTTGCTTAATCAAATAAGCGTTATTTTGCCAGTTTTTAACATGTTTTGTTTTCCCACTCGCGTCGAAATTAATAAAAATTAAGACAAAAATAATTGTTAACTCAGTTTTACATGACATGGTTTTATTTAATAATTTTCATGCTAAAGTGCTGTGTGCCCTTTGCATCAATTTTATTATCCTCGGCCTGTGTCTGTGAATTTTTTTTCCTCCACCCCTCTCGAGTTGCGCGCGTTGTTCAACGGGAAATCATGCATCCAGCTGACGAATGAGAGTGAGAGCGCGCGACAACGAGAGTTTTCGCTGCAATATTTATACGTGCGCTAACGACCAATTAAAATGCAAATGAGGTCCCTGGGTGTACCGGTAATACGTGTAGGGCGCGCGCGTGTGGGAAAGGGATAGGAGGGCTCGACAAACACATAAATTTATAAAAGCGCAGTCGTGCGCGCGTCAGCAGCTGCTGCAACATCGGTCACTCGAGCGTGTGACCTGATGCCTATATATACCTATCGTCTGCGACACCCCTCCCCCCCCCTCTCCAAGTGCAATGGTCACTTCCTTATTTAATTTCGCGTCGAGTATGTTCGTTTTGTTTGCCTATTCGTTCGCGCGGCTTAATCGGATTAATTAATTTTTCAAGCCGGAATCGTCCCTCTCGCTCACGCCTCGTTGATTCGGCTACGACAAGCACATACAAATAACGTTAATTGTTCGGTGGGTGGATATTTTGCTACAACGGCAAGAGCTGGTAATTACTTTTTTAGCAAAATAATTTCTTGTTTTTTTTTTCATTCATTTCCATGTCAAAATGTTTATTCAACGTCAACAGTATCACAATGAACTACATGTTTCGCCGTCACAGTAATAAACAATGCAAAATTAATACAAAGATGTAATTACGAAGGGCCTCATCGATTTCCCTTCCCCCCGTCCCCTCCTCTCATCGTCCAATCGCTTGAGCTTCCTCATTAATTTTGTTATTTTGGTCCTATGCGAAAATATCCATCTCTCTGGCCGATATTAAAACTAGCCCCTGCAGAGCCAATTTCCGCTCGATCGATTATATTTTCCAATCAATCTCTTCCAAACGAAATACAGCCTCGTCATTTAATGCAAATAAAATCCTTGGGAGAGGAAAAATGAAAAATGAAAAATGAAAAAAAAAAAATGAATTTTCATCATGGCCCCGCAAATCAAAGATACATTATACGTAAGTACGGAAAATCGCTGGGGTGAGAGGTCGCGCGTGTACACGCAGCGCGGAATCATCGAGGGCGAGCTAGTACAGTTTGCCAGGGTCATTTGGCGGCCACGACTACCCACCAGACTTGGATGCGGCTTGGCTTAATCGCGCCACGACTGTGTACACACGTACGCGTGCACGTATACAGCTCGAGACAAACTCTCCTGGCATTTGAGAGTCGAGTCCTCTCCGGGGGGGAGCCAAGGCACATACGTGCAGGAGGAGGAGGAGGAGGAGAGCTTTAGGGTAGGTAATACCTACTCTCGGTACTCCTGATCTTAAGGTCCAGGTATACATGTATAGCACACACGTGCGGAAACGAGTGTGAAGGCAAGCGTATATATATATAGCCGAGCCACTTCATTCGCACGCCAGCTCGACTAGCCTTCATTCATCTTCTTTCGTGTTCTCATACTTTCCTCCTTTTCCTTCCCTGTCCGGCTTTCTTTCCCGCAGCTCCTCGTAAAGCTCCAAGCTGTTGCTCCTCGAGCTACTTGTTCATTGTTTCTTCCGAAAAATTCGTTTTTTTTTTTTTTTTTTTTTTTTTTTTTTTTTTTTTTTTTTTTCATCATCAATCAGCCAACTTTTTCCTTCCTTTCCACGTCCAAGTACCGATAACCCTCTAAAATGCAGCTCACTCGCAACCCCCTTCCCCCTTTTCCATTACGTTGTCATAAACCCCTTCTTGCGCGTGTTATCTCTCCCCGTGCGAGCAAACGAATGAGTATTTATATACGCTCTCTGTGTAACTCTCGCACGAGGATGTTACACGCGCGTATTTATTTGTAGCTGAGAGTACAAAAACAATAAGAAGCCCTCGTGTATACAGATAGAGCAGGGAACGAGTCGTGGATTCGGGGGGCTTCGTAAATAAGGAGGCGTAAACAAATGAACTTTGAATAAAAGAGAAGGGATTCTGCAGGTAGATGCATACATATATATATATATATATATATATATATATATATACATATTCGTACGTATAAAGTACACAAAGGTAAGTAATTTCCTCGACGAGTTTCTCTCTCGGTGAATTCGTGATGGATGGATTTCCCTCCCGAGTGGAACCCTCTCTCCTAACGAATTCCCAAATGCGCTGCAATTCCGATGGATTATAGCCACGGTTTCGTTACCGTAAGCCAGTGCGCAGCCCCGGAACGTATAAATATACCTGCGATGTTTACCGAAAGGTTGTTCGTTGCACTTGTAGACGAGCGGACGAGTTAGCAAATGGTTACTATACACGTACACGGTACGGTGGGGGTCGGTCAATTTTTAACTTGCCGTGACGCGTCAACACACACACACACACGCGCGCGACCTATTTCCCCCGAGTGCGCTTACTATTTGTTGTTTTTGTGCTTTGCCGGGCAGTTATACCTCCGGCATCAGCAGCCCCGATGCACCAGGGGGTGTATACAGGAGGGGCAGCGCGATAATTGTTTATCCGAACTACGAAAGTTGAATAACACCGAGGAGCGCGCCGCGGTTATATATTATATAGACAACACGCACGGATGGAACGAGCAAACAAGCCAAACGAAGGGGGGAGAGTGGGGGGGGTTACCGGAAATTCGATAAGGCCGGCTCTTGACCCCTCTGGGGACCCCGGCAATACATAACTCGCGCTACACTCTCGAAATTGCCAATTTTTCCGATCCGGCCTTATCGGCTCGCCGTACTACGACCGATGGCCTTTGCTTCCCGCCAAAGAGCGCGGGGGCGGTGTCCTCCCTCGATTAAGCGCGACACTCGGTTACGATTTACCCCCTTATCTCCTCGTACATTGTGCCCCGGCGCTAGGGTACAAGTAATGGCGTGTGTACGGCGGAGTGGCGGCTCAACACCCGGGGGCTAGTTAATTTCGCATAGCCGTTTAATTCGCTCCGGAGCCATTGGAATTCCAGAGGTGAAAGAAGAAGAAAGTGAGCCGGCAGACCTAAATCGTGGGCGCGCCGAGGGAGCAGCTTCGTTCGTGCGCTCTCGTAGACCGGCGACGCGAGGAATTTGGTATTAAAAGTTTATTCGAAAAGTCTGACGGTAGCCGGGGCTTGTCGGGACTCCAACCCGGCAGGGGGACCCTGCCCCCGTATACGTCGCTTTGGAATTCGCGTAGGCTCGCGCGTGCTCGAGCGGGGGACATTCCAGGGACAATTCCTCCCCCTTAGAAGCTTTTTCCTCTCCACCCACCATTTCTGGTATCTACGTGCACCTTAGCTTCGTGATTTTTGAAAACTCCCGTCCAACCGAGCAATAATATTACAGCATCAGCTATCTTACGTTTCCGCGCGCCTGCCTCTTTCGGGCCCATTTAGTTCTACGCGCATACGCACTATCCCCCACGATTATATATATATATATGTTTATACGTATATACGGTGGCCGCGCTCGACATCACGGGTCATAAATCTCGACCATAAATCCCATCCTTCCTTTATTTTGTGCCGCCTCGCTTACCCCTGTAAACACTCTTTCTCTCTCGCTCCCTCTTGTCCCTTTAACACTTGACCCTGGTGGTCTGTTGGAGCTTGTCAGAAAATACGAGTGGTTTTTTTCCAACTTTGATCGTGTCGTTTTGATACAGCCCCCTCCCCCCTCTGCTCCTCCTGCCTTGGAACTCTCATTACATTTCGAAGGCTATACCTATCTTTCGTGTGCCAATGGTTTCTGACACGTTGTAATGATAATTACCCGTTTTCCGCGTGTGCGCCGCACTTTAAGGTCCTTTTTCGAGGTAATATTATACACTCGTGTATTTCATACAATATAATATTAGCTCTGCCGTTCAAGTACACCGTACTTCATGTGTTCATGTACCTGTTCGTATAAATATTTGCCAAACGCCTGCCAGCCGATCTTTGCCACGCGGCCCCGTTAATTTCACGTTATACGCACTTTATAACTGAAATTAATGTTTTTCACGACATTTATCGCCGCAAACGCCGATGTATACTGCGTAATGTGACAATGTCAACACACGACGTAATAAAATTACGGAGACGAGAGGGAGCTTTTCGAAATTAACCGTGACCCCCTTTCCCCCCCTCACGCTACCCCGCGTTATAATTACAATATATTCGTGGGTTGTACATGAAATTGGCGATTAAAGCATCCCAGAGGGGCCACTTGGCGATGTTTTACATATATTCACGCGGCGATGGTTTTATCGCGTGGGTGCAACTTTTGTACATGAGCGTTGGATTCGCAAATGCGCACGTGTTATTTAAGGAGCCGGGGAGTGCGAAAAGAAAAGTTATCGTTGGACGGCGGGGGAGGGGGGCACAATGTTAAAAGGGGAGGCTGCACACGTACCTCGTACTGGCATATTGTGGGAGCAGCTTGTACGAGTGAGCAACAAAAGTTACCTGCACCCCCCGGCGCGTGTATATATATATATATGTATTGTCTCTTGGCAAGGTGCCCCGATATATTATATACGTATAATATTTGCACCGGTGTTTTTCCACTCCGCTTGGCACGCTTTTTATTTGCTGCGCGGGAAGCTCTGCTGGCATTGGTTTTTTCACCCCCTCACCCCCACCCCCTACACTGCCATGGTTATAACGTGCCAATATCGGACTCCAGCCGATAACGAGATGGTTAAAAGGACGTGGGATATCGATTTGCACCGGGAATCGTTTACGAAGGATATTACAGGGGGAGGGGGGTACATGTATATATTTTTATATATGTATGAATTAATATTAGAGTCAATATGCACGCGTATAAACGCGGGGCGATGATGAATTTTTTAAGGGAGCAAGCGGTGTCAAGTATATCAATAAGGGCTGCATTGATGATGAAACGAAAGCCGGATTTATTGGGGAGATGGAGGGTAGGCATGCTATCGATTGGAAATTCTTGGGCGCGCTCGGTTAAATGAACAAATGTCACGCTTCGTGGATATATGTGCAAGGGCATTAGCGAATTCATCGCGAAAATCAGTAATAAGGCACATCAGCGACGCGGCATACAGAAGGGGCACGAAAGGGGTGGTGGTGGGAGGGTCGCATAAATTAGGGTCGCCACGGGAAAGGTTGTACGCGGGTTTACGGGGTAGGCGGAATCCGTGGCACGTTCTCGCGCATCCCTCGCTCTCGAGCACTTTAGAAATTAGCCGCATAATCCATCGAGTTAGCTGCTCTCCTGCTGTACCTACACCATGCACCACCTTTGCCGTTATAAACTCACCCTCGCACAACTACCGTAATACCACTGTATATATATACCCCTCGAAGCGGTAGCTCGGTACATACATGTATGTCTACTCTTCACTTCCGTATACAATACGGCGTGTATATAAATATACAGGTGTGCGGAGTATATACATAATGCACGGGGCTCTCTCGTTATAGTCCGATACGTATGTGTGTAGAGCCGGTGCGCTAATGTCCGATGAATGTGAAAAATGCACGAGGCAAAAGCTCTCCTCGTTAAACATTCAGCTGACGCGAGCGCGTCCCGCGTCATTGCACCCCCTTTACATACACCGCCCGCTTTTTCTCACGTAATTACAGTTCGCCGAGTCGCGGAAAAATCAAGTTGCCCGGCACTTTACGTATATATGTACACACACGTTCTCTGATTACCCGCACGTAGTTGTACCCGGTGTAACACACACGCAGCACACACAGACGACGGCGAGAAAGTACCGAGCAAATATTTGAGACGAAAGGCTAATACGACCCGAAGCGGGTACAATGTAGCTTATGCTCAATTTTACCGTAGGATCACGCGATATAGGGCAAAAACCGAAAATAATAATATATACCGTATAGTATGGATGAATATACATGTGCAAGCTCGTACACGCACAACATTATGTTATATGTGTATGCATTATGCAGCGTACATAGGCTCTGTCGCGGAGGCAAAAGTTGCTCGACGCGAGAACCATATCCTCGAGCGGGGCAACTTCTCAGCTATACGCGTTCCATGCAAATATACAACAAAAGGAGCCAAGCTTTCCTCCCCCATACGTATTCTATATCCGTATACAAGCGTCCCGCGCGGGACAAGTTTTATTGCTATACGTATATATATACATATATATGTATGCGCGGAAAAAAAGTATTTCCTCCCACGCGTTGCGTTGGTACATCGGGGAGGAGAAAGTTAACTGCACGTGGCGGGTACATAGGGAGGAAATTTCGTGACGTTGCCTACGAGGTTCGCTTCTGCAAGCTATATATAGTTGCAATTGAATGCCACATTTTTACGTTTGGAGCTGGGTAGGTACATGGATGGGAGAAAAAAGGATGATCATACGGGGGTGGAACGAGCGAAAATATGATAACAAGGAGGAGAGGGGTCGTGGAATCGGGAAGAGTTGGAAACGAGAATATATCCGCCCGAGCTGGGATTTTGTTATTTTTGTACGTTTCGGGGTTGGATGGACAGGTAGGAGAAAAAAATAAAATATAGGCCAGTGCAAAAGAGGTGGATGGAGGGTGGGAGAAAAGCACGGAACGTTGGATCGGCCGAGGGATAAGGAAAAGGAAAAAAAAAGGGGGTGGGAGTATTCCGTGCAAAATAGAGGAAGAGGCGTTAACGAAGCTCGGAAACATCGGAGCGGAGGAGAAAGAAAAGAGGGGGACAGGTAAAAGATGGCAGAGGGAGATAGTCACAGAGCTCAACGGAATGTAATAATTCAGTCGGACGGCGCGTCGCGTGTATAGGGTACCTCTATGTATACATGAGTGGGTGGCGGCAGGCGAGCTTGCAAGCTCCGTTAGTTGCACGCACGTTACGTTTCATGACGCGTCACGTTGTATAAGTATGTATACGTGCTTACCCAATTGCCAGTAAATATAGTCTACACTGCTTCGCCGGACAATCGTTCAGCCTCACCTTTGCCCGTCCGTCCGTCCATTTCTCTTCTCTTTATTCTTCTCGCTTTATTTTGGACGGAAGGAGTCGAGGAGCCTATGTACGTGGGCCCGCGCATCTGCTGCAACGCAGGAGGAAATTAAACCGCGTCGAAACTGGTGGCTTGTACCACACCACGGCCCATGTCCTCTGGTACCATATACATACGTGGAGGTACCGGTGCTATTAGCTGCTGCCTGTGGAGGAATAGCTTTTACGTACCTACATATATACATGTAGGGACAACTAGCTCCCGGCAATATAAATTGCGCGCCACCTGCGGCCTGTCCACTTATTGTGCGCGCAGATCCTGGTTCCGTTGTGGGTTGCGTAGCTTTGACAAGCGACTGCTTTGTGTTTTAATATTAAGTATGGGTGGGAAAAAATATTTGAATGTACAAATTTATACAAATCTTATCTTTATTTGTCTCACGAATTGTACAATTTTTTTGTTTTGTTTTTATATACGTTATGCCTCCCCATCTCTTTCTCTCCTATGTGATTAACTTTACCCCGAGCGTTGTACCTACGCTCTGCCATCACGTACGCGTCCACGAAATTCTTACAATTAATGCATAGGTTATTATACATTACGGAGATGAATATCCATTCTACGTCCAATTAAAGTAATTCATGAATAATTACATCGTGAAATGAACGCCTCGTGCAAATTTTTTCGAGTATATTAATTTAATTTCACCCGCTGCTGTAAATATGGGTCGAATGTACAAAAATTCGTGTACACGACGACCAAAGTTTTTATTACATCAGTCAGTTTTGTGATTACTTCGGTTACGTGTTAATTTTTCTACCACACTTTTCACGCGTTAACCCCATGCAATATGTACAAATACTTACAAAAAATCACACCACGACTACACTTGATCGGCACCTATACATCTAAATCAAAATCCACAGTTTTTTTTTTTTTTCATCAATCTACAAGCTCGACTAAACAATGTCAGAAAAGAAAAAACTTTGCTCACCGTGTCCATATACCGTAAACGACCTGTAAAAAACTACGTCAATTCCAGCATTATAAAAAAAAAAAACAGTGAGCTTACAAAGCCAGTCACGTAACATTTTTGTATACGTTTCTACGCGTATGTAGAACTTGGACCGTATCCTCCCCTCGTGCACATAGTCTGATTGTCAAATAATTAACGTTGGCCTCGCACTTTCCACCCCTACAATATGTATTTCATTAGGTCCATACTCTGTCCACACTACACGTGCACGATTTATGTCGTTATGTGTTAAATATATGTACATCTGCCGCGTATCACGTGAGAATGAGCCGCACCGTAGCGGCGCAAAAAAGAACCACTATAGGCAACGAGGCCCCGTAGTTCCGATGGTGGGTGTACTCGATCAGCAGCGCCCGAGCGAACTGGGCGAGTTTGTCGAGCGACGCGCGTATCCGCAAACAGACGAGCGACGCGTCGACCGAGTCGGCGAACCGAGGAGATAATATTATGAAACGCGGGACCCGAGGTCAGTTGTGGCTTTTGAGCATCTTGAGGGGGTCGCGGGTGTACCGGGCAAACACCTCCTTCTTGAACACCTCGAAGTGCTTGCGGTTGAGGCTGTTTTGGCGCTCGCGCCACGCCGGCCGGCTCTTCCGGGTCTGCAGGCCCCAGTGGACCGTGAAAGTCGGCGAGAGCACCTTGAACTTGTAACCCGCGACGTACATCTCGTAAACCTGAAAACATTTACACACCTTTCAACTCACCTTGTCTCTTCTTACAATGCATCACATCGCTGCGAGGCAGCTTAATTCATACAAGCATCCGTATATTATACGTACAATATGGCATATATATATATATACACATATATTGCACACATGCCGCCTCGTTGGCGAAACGCCGCGCGCAAATTGAGATATGCCCGGAGCAACGGGGAATGCGGGGCCATTGTGTTATACAGTCTCCATCGTGTATGACTATTCCGGTGCGCGCCCGTATATACCTAGATATACCTTTTGAGAATGCCGACTCTGCTGCTATTCCACGGGCGTTATACGCGCTCAAGAATTATCCCCCTCCCCGTGTACGCGCTCCTTCTCATTATTATGCATTGTTTCCCCGAATTCACACGTTCCTCCATCCCCGTGGTAAATGCTTCCCCTCGTTTCACACCTCGAGTCTATTTTCGCTCGTCCAATTGTCCCTATTAGCGCTTTGTACGGCTACACACATGTGTGTTCCGTTCAACACTCCAACCCTATATGTTTTTTTTTTTTTTTATTTTTTTTTTTTATCCATTTGGTAAAATTAGGTACATAGCCATCATTCGTACCTGGGTGTTTCTCGTGTACCCGTAGCCCATGAATCGCTCGTCGTGCGGCGGCGCCACGTCCCTCGCCACGTAAAACGGCTCGTAGAGGAACTCAAAGTTGGTCACCTCGTGGCTGACGTACGCCCTCCCGGTGCGCACGTTCTCGTGGCTCGCATGGCCCGGACCGACGTCGAGCATCCACCTACACACCCCGTGGCCAAACCAACGAATTATTCGCCTGTTGCCCAACACCACGAGTACACATTGCTTATACCTGGTGAAATTGGTGGCAAACTGGTTGTGGATGAAGACCTTTTGGTGAAATGGCCTGGCGAGTCCTTTGCGCGCCAACCTGGCGAGCTCCGTCTTGTTCTGGGGGAAGCGAACGCGCGCGTCCAGCTCGTAGGTCGGCACGACGTAGGCGCACCTCTCGCACCGCGACTGCTCCGGCTGGGCCAAAAAGTCCTCGAGTTGCCGGCTGAGGTTGGTGCTCGGCACAATGTCGACGTCCGTCAGGAACACGTACTCGCTCTGGCAGTTCTTGCGCGCCAAGTTGCGCATGTGGTTCTGGGGGTAGGGGTTGCGCGAGCGCCAGCTCAACTGCTCGGCCGACAATCGGCGCACGAGCTCGGCGAGCGTGCCCTCGGGCCTCCGGCAATCGAGGCTGTCCTGGGGCCCCTGCCGTTGTTCCCCACTGCCGCGCAAAAGAAGGGGCCGTCCACGGGGCACGGCGAGCGAGAAGTTGACGCGTTGGCGGATGGGCTCGTAGCATCGGCGCAGGTAGGCGAGGTAACGCTGGAGGAGGTCAAACTCCTCGTCCCCGGCGGCGTAGAGGGCGACGCTCAGGGGCCCGGTCCACTGGTGGACGACCTGGACGAGGGAGCCGAGCTTCTCGAGGGAGCTCTGGGTGGCCAGGCAGACGCGCGCCCTCGACGACAGCTCGGCGAATTGGGTGCCCACGAGGGCCGCGTCGAACGCTTGGAGCAATCGACGCGAGTCCCACCGCCCGAGCCGCACGTCGAGCTTTTGCAGCAGCTGCTCTCCCCCGTAGGTGTCCCCCTCGTCCTCCTCCCCCTCTTGGCCGGTGGCGTCCGTGCTCGTGGTGTCCTCGGGGCATGGCTGTTTGGCGACGGGGCGGCCGATGGCAGCTGGGGGGGTGCGGTCCTCGGGAGCCGAGGCCACGAGGAACCGGTAGCGGCCGCAGCTCTCCGATTGGAGGAGCAGGAAGGTCAGCAGCATGTTCGTCAGCCCGAGGACGATCACGCTGACGAGGCTGAGGTTCCAGGGTCGGCAACCCAACTGAAACACATGCGCCTTTTATGTTTAACACCCCTCGCCTGACTCTCTCCTTCTGCGCAGTTTCTCGTGCATCGACCATTGCACGCGAATACGGGGCAATAAAACCTACCGCAGAGTAGAAACACCCCTTGCGGTGAAAAAAAAATATTTACACGACTCGTTTATACATTTATGACGCTGTAATATATATTTTTACCGTGTTCTGGAGCGTATAATTTATACAACGTGCGGGTGATGGTAAATGCAATAGTGATTTTATTCAATCATATCTTGCTTGTTTTCACTCGTCATCTTGTTACTCGAAAAGCAACCCTGTATAATCAACCGCGGGAAAGAAGGAGCATAAACCTCGGGGGCTTAGCCACCGCGAGAGCTTAATTGAGGCGACAATAAGCCGATGTGTACACGTATACATATATATAGGTCCTCTCGGGCCTGGAGACTCATCAGGCGAACAATAGAGCCCCGGCAGCGTTTGTACGCGGCGCTCATATCTTGCGTGTGTACATATATGTGTATACCCGCTTCGTGGAAGAGAGGAAAGGAGGGCAGAGACGGAGGCTGTATCTCGTTTGAGGCGGCACATCAACGAATCCGATAAAATGCGAGCTTTCTGTTTTCCCTCTGTTTTCAAGAGGCAGAGATGGATGTAAAAAAAAAGAAAGAAAGAAAGAAAAGCCTTGACCGACTTTTATAGAAAATGGATATCGGATGCCGCTTGCAAAAGCAGCAGCAACAACGGCTCCAAAAGAGAAAAGTGTGTACATACATATATATGTATATATGTGTATAGGTGGGGTGTAGGTGCTCGGCTCGTTTTTTTGTCCCACTGCGCGGCTCTCTCATATTCCATTAAACAAATCTCTTTGAAATACGTCGCTTGCTCGCTGATGCGCGATATGCGCCCAAGTCCGATCGACAACCTTTTGTACATGTGCGCATATTCCGCGCATACGATACACCCCCTCCGTGCATGGATGGATCCAGCTTTTTTTTTTTTTTTTTTTTTTTTTCGCGTTATACTTTGTGTATTTGCAGACGCTGGCGTACACAAGTGGATACGTATGACGGGTATCTCCAACTTTGCACCGAGTCGCTCGAGCACGATAAATAATAATGACAATAAGAGGCTCTCGATGCGACTTGTAACGTCATTTGGCCGATCGAACGAAAGCATCGAGCTGAAAGCTCCGGGAGAGCTTTTTTTTATTTTGCCGTACCCGTGCAATAGCAGACAAAGATGACACGAGAGACAAGATGGATCATCCGCGTTATAATGTATTACGGAGGAGGCACAAGAGGGTGCCCTCCGCATGCAACCGCTGACTCGGCTCGGATCGATCACACGTGCTTCCGACAATTTGTCTGAGCATCGCGGCCGTGCGTGACTTGCTCGTGGCTCCTTGCAATGCATTGTAACCCGTCCACGTGCATAGCGACATTAAATTTAGTTACGTTACACCGGCTGATGGGTCTAAATGTGGGGAGACGTAATGGATGGGTGTCAGAGACGCTGGCAAGTTTTTGTTGCTGGAAGACGAGAATAGGATTGCGTTGCCGATACGTCGCACACGTGTGTTACATATTGAAATGGGGGATGAGTATAATCTGGGGAGATTTAATCAGCTATACTTTTCGCGGAGTATCACCCAAATAGACATCAGCGGGTGAAAATGTCGGCGTGTATTTTAACAATATCGATCGCGTGCAGAGAACAAAGGTATATTAATATACCTATCTGTGACTTGGGGCACGGGAGTATTTTATGCCCTGTAAAAACAAACATACAAATACTATTTGTTAAAACAATGCTCGTGGGGAATATTACAATTTTTTAAAAAGAAAGTCAATTTGTTTGAAAATGTAATTGTACGTTTGATTCATGAAAAACTTTTCGATGAATTTTAATATACAAAATGGGCTGCATGCAAATTTTTTTTTCAATATTGCACTGTGAAAAGTGACGAATGAAAAAGTTATTTCAACGTGAAGAATTTACTTTATTTAGAAAGAAAAATAAATAAATTAATAAATAATGTATAAGACAGTTGTGCCCAAGTCTCCAACGTACTGATTTATTACTATAATCGATTTATTAAATGCACATTTCCTCACTTATTGATTCAAAGGTCAATTTCTTGAGTTTGACCGACGTGCTCTATAATTTTTTAATTAGACGGCACGGAAAATCACCTTTACATTACACATAAAGCAAGTGTAAAATTACATGACGTCTGACGAAAAAAAAAAAAAAAAAAAAAACTCACAAATGCGTAGGTAATTCCAAACCTAATAATTCATCTGTAATGAGCCATAAAACTCCCCCACAAATTTTTAAAGATATTCCAGCTCCTGCAGCCCGGAGTTAAAATTAAAACTGATCGATAGGTATTCGAGCCGACTATTCAAAGACTCGCGCGCGAGTTAAAATTTCTGAACATAAAAAGCCTCGAGCTCACCTTCGAAGACGTTTATAATTAAAACTTGAAAAGACGAAGGGGACGGTGAAAAAAAAGCGTCACATTTAAACGCTTCCCTCTGAACGTTTTCCAGCTTTGTCAAGTTCTTTTTTTCTTCTTCTTTCAGCTCCAATCGGATGGGACAACAAAAAAAACGACTAATCGCTGTACACATAGTGGGGGGGGGAGGGGGCTATTCGTCGGTGCATCATGTAGACGCCAGTAAGAAATGAGAGCTGGAAACGAAATTCAAGCCGAAGAAAGAACGACGAGCTGATTGCAATGTACGATGGCCGAGGCGACTTGCTCTCGAAAAATCTCGCGCGGAAGCAACTAGTTGCCCAGATGGTTCGAGCGCTCGCATATATATATATTTGGAAAAAATAATAACGAAACATGGTAGCGTTGCACAAAAATTAAAAAAAAAAACCAGAGAGAGAGAGAGAAAGATAAAAGGGTCGGCTGAAACAAAAGAGGGGGGTGAGGAACGGCAGAACGAGAAACAGAGTGGGAAGGGATCGGCTGTACTGGGAATTGGCGAAATTAAAGTAAAAGTGAACGGCACGCAGCAGCGACGAAGGGAGAAAAAAAAAAGTATACATCTGCGAGCACATCATTTTCTTGTTTTTAATTTATAGACAACTGCCACGCTCGGCAACATCAGCAGCGACGGCGCGTAATTAGACCCTGGCAATGTGTACACACACTTATACACGTATAGGCAAATAAGGCGCCAGCTCCGAGTCGTGGTTCCACGGGGAAAAAAGGCTCAGCTCGTCATCGCCTTTCCACGCCTCGGCTAAACCAAAAATAACGAAGCACTGCGCTCTAGGGGGTGTATACAGAGGGACGCGCGTATTCACACGGTTTATATATAGAGCGAGAAAAAGATAGAGTCCCCGTCTATATACGCTTTTCCAACGAAGAGCCGAAAAAGGTCGAGATTTGCGAAAATGCCCATTTAAGTCGCCGTTGGTGGGTGCGCCTCGAAAAAAAAAAGGAAGGGGGTGGGGTGGGTAATGGGGATGGAGGGGCCGCTGGATTCGTTTACTATCGCAGCGAGCATCTCTCGCTCAATGGAGTATTCAGCAGCTTCGGAGTTGCTGGTTGTTGTAATAGTAGCGGCAGGTATGTATATGGTACAATACGGCAGCGCGTATAGAGCTCGGGGCTTGATAAAAAAAAGAAAAAGTGAAAAGAAGAGGGGGGGGAGGGAGAAAGGAGCGCCCAGCTTGGCCGAGCCAAGATAGCGATGCGGAGTAGATGGATGGAGCGCCAGATAGAGCTCCCAAAGTAGAGTAGTGCTCGCAGCCTAAGGGTTACCACATACCGGGGAAAACGAGCGGCTGCCAAAGGAGGGAGGATCCTTAATCACTCGACACGCGCGCGAAAAATGCGCCACACGTACACACACGCGCGCGCGCTCGCACTGCTTGTGAATTGTTCGGTGTAGGCTTTTTCAGCGCGAATAAAAATGTATAAGCCACCTATCCTTGGTCCTCGCTGCTCCTTTCAATTTATTTTCCGTCCTTTGGGGCCGTCACTCCCCGGTATAGACGACTCTGAATGCCATTCGTTAAGAAGAGACTACTATGGCGCGGTACACACGAGCGCGTCCTAGGACGCAATTTCCAGGGCCCGGCTTTTCCCGGCTGAAAGCCCCGCGAATTTCAAGGGAACCGGGGGCAGCACCTCGCGATCTTATTTCCTCGCTACTCATCGCCCCCCGCCCTTGTAGCGGCTCGCGATATATGACGTACCTACCGTCCGACTGAAAGGACTTTTTCGCTCGGTGCGGAGCGCGACGGCACAAAGAACACCGTATATATACAGGGATGGAAAATAAAAATGTACCTTCGCCGATATGTGCGGTGTGCGCTCGGAGCGAAACTTGATTTCACGGCGGTGACAGTTGGACCAAAAAAAAGTGTATGTTTAAACGGGGTGGGGGAGAGAGGAAAGAGGGACCGTGGCAGAGCGTCAAAGCAATTCGCGGTGGTGGTAAATGACACGTGGAGGCAACAGAGGCGAGTATGGGAATACCTAACCAGGTTTGCCTCTCGTTAGCGAGGTTTGCCGACGACTCGCTCGTTCTTTTATTCCACCCCCCACTTGCTCTTTACCCTTATTTTTTGCGTCCCTTTTTTTTTCTAGGCCCGAGCTCCTACAACTTTTCGCTCGCTACTCTAATTGCCCATCTTCATTTTTTTCATTGGAACTCCCAACGTTTTAGTTTTTTTAATTTTTCCACTTGTCATTCCGACTCTTGCGAACAAAAAGTTGCATCTACGATCGTTTAAACAATTTTGCCGACCGTTTGGTTGCCCCATTTTTTTTTTTGTCTTCCACAAGCAGGGCTTTATATATTTTTACTCGGGTTATAAAGTGTATGCGATACACGCGCATCGTCGTTCTAGTTGGGTATTTGTGCGAAACGAATTTTTAACCCAACGTACTACACGTACAAAGATTTTAACTTTGAGTGCCCTCATTTGTGCGATCATACGCGAAGTGAGCACTTTGCACGGACGCCAAAAGTTAAACTCTACTGCTCGTTGTGGATCAAAAAGTACTCAGTAAGTTTCAATGTACGAAAATAAGCTTGCAAAAAAAAACTGTCCTTGTGTAATCCGTGAAAAACGCGTCAATGGTGCCGAAAACAAAGGCATGCGTTTATTGCAAAAAAATTAAAAAATCAATACCCCCCAGAAAAAGGGTGACTACACTCGAGCGAGCCAAACTCGTTTCCTCGTAGTTACGAGTGCCCCTGTGCTCAGCGAAGCTCAAAATAACTCGGTACACCACAAAGCAAACTACGTCGTCCAGCTGAAAGGTATATTATATATATATATAGTGGACACAACGCGGGATCAAGAGTTATCCTGGAGGGCGAGTAAGGATACATCGGCACATCAGGGGTGCGAAAGTGGGGGATCGCCAGAAGTGAATCATCGTGCGCCAACGAATTTCTGACCCTACGTGTATACAGCTCTCCGACACTTCAAAGCCGTTATATTCGCGCTTCCTCGTACGTATGTATAGCTCCGGCGTCGAAGCGGAACGGCCGCTCTCGTTAACGAACCCGCGTCGAGGAAACCAACTCTCTACGATGGCCACACGGTGTATACCCACTCCCCACCCCTGCGCATAGGTGAATATAATATCCCTTGTTATGCACATTTACTCGCGAAAGTGATTATTCCGTTCTCCGCGTACCCTTCTCCCAAAGTAGTTACTAGACGCACGACTCTCTCTCTCTCTCTCTCTCCCCCTTTGTGCAATTATTCGAGCCGAATTCTCCCCCCCCCGCGTCATTTCAAAAGCACTTTTCGTTCCTAATCTCCTCGCTACACTCGCTCTTTCATGCACGTACGTGTATGCCTATGTATATGTAGCCCGCGACGTGGCGTAGTTTACGGGTTTCCGAACAAGTTGAACTTTTCGCATCCGAAAAGCAGCTAAGCCGCGGGGACCGACTGTTACGACCTCGTTTCGTGGGTAATTAGCAAAGAAGAGAGAGAGAGAGAGGGAGAAAATACATTATCAAGAATTCACGGGTAGGAGAGATGGATGGAGAAACGAGTCACTTTGATCTTCGCGGTAGTCAGATTTGAGAAGTCGCAAAGTTCCCTCGAACAAAGCGCCCCGAGAGTAGCGAGCTGGGGTGGGGGGGGGGGGGGCAAAAGCGGACGAGCGAGCGAGTAAATAAGCCAGAAACGACGAGCAACGGCGCATTGTTTGCGCGACAGGCGGAGGTAAAGCCCGAACGCAGTGACGGAGGACGAACCGCAAGAAGTTGCAGTCACCCTCGAAGGTACACGTATACTCGGGGGAAAACATTACAGTTGCACCATGCGAGCGCGTGGGTATGGCCGTTGGTTTCGAAAACTAGCGCGCAAAGCCGAGCAACACCGTGGGCGCCACCAAGCGGAGGGACACGGAGCGACGTGCCGAGGATTGTACTACCACTATATACACGCTACATCATATTATATCCGTCCACCGGCTGCCGTAACGTCGACTGTACTACTGATGGTGCGACCATATCTCTGATGGACACGAGTAGTACGAGGCTACGGTGTGCTACGGGTTCTTTGCTGCTATACTTAAAATGTATGGTGTGGAGTTTACACGGTACAACGCTTACCTGGACCATTGGTGAGTATACTGCTGGTGGAGGGTTGGTCGACGATACCGTGGCTGCTGGCAGCAGACGAGACGTGCTCGCTCGAGGGGCTGACTCCTAGAGATTCGTACTACTGATGTTGCTGATGGTCCAAAAGGTGGTGGTCCTCGCGGTCACCGAGGGGTCGTCGTTGCGGGAGGGGCGCCAGACCGGAGCTGGAGCGTCGCGAGCGCCATGTTGCCGAGGTGGCGCGGCCGGGATGCGCGTGGCGGTGCCGGCTATACACCACCGACGCCGACGATCGATCGCCGCTATGCTCCCTTTCTCGTGGCTCCTCTCCCGCGCGCGCACCAACACCTCCCCCCCCCCTACTCATCCACCCACAAGCGCGATGTTGCTCGTGTTGCGCTATTTGCCCGACCCGCTCCGTTACTTCTTCTTCCTTGGCACTGCCTTTTTGCCGCTTCTCTGAAGATCCAACTGTATCTTATACCTATACATGTATATATACACACATAAGTTGCAACGCGCACCGGTGATGGTGGCGCGATAAATAATCGAGTAGCAGCTCCTTCCTTTGCCCCCTTTCTCTAGCCACCCGCACTCTTGTTTTGTAATTAAACGATTGGCCTTTCTTTCGCGTAAATCAACGACAACCCCCCCCCACCCCTATTTTTCTCTATCTCGTTCCAACTTCCCAAGTATCGCTTCCTATTTTAACACATGCCTGCCAGCGCGTCTGACTATTGCGCGACTTTACTACTGGCTGGCGGTCGAGGTTTTTAACAGCGGATTTCGCACCGCGCGAGCCGATTATCCCCCGTTTCTTTGTTTGCGCCACTCGTACGCAACACCTTTTGTTTTTGTTTTTTTTTTTTTTTCGTTTATTTGGACACCTGAGACTTGCGGGTTATTTCCAGCGAGGTAAATCACCGGCGGTGCAGCTGCTTCGCCGCGTCCCCGGAAACGAGTCGACGATTGAACGTTGAACACTCAGCTCCGGCAAAGTCTCTTGCAATTTGATTTGTTTGAAGCACTCGGGCATTGGAAGAAGAAGAAAAATAAAAAAAATAAAAAACGCGTACCCACTGAATGTAATTTCGATTAAACTGAGTTGGATCTTTTTTTTACTCTCGGGGAAATAAAATTCTGCTTCACGGCGCATTTAAAATACGTTCGCGAGAAGAGTTGATTTTCGAAAAATCAAATGACGCGGTAACTTTTACTCTGGCTCAACATAACGAACGTCGACTCTCGGGAGTTTTTTTTTTTTTTTTTTTTTCAGCTCATCGCAACCTGCCGTTAAATGTACAAAATGAAATATAATATATACACGCGTGTCGATTATACTTTTTCGTTTCAGCATTTTACACGAAACGCTCACCCCAACTCAAAACTTTGGAATGGCTTTTGAAACCTTTCAATGGAAAACCCCCTTTCCACGGGCCACCTCAAGATTCGGAGACATCCAGAGTTGCCAACCGAGCATTCCTTATACCAATACCTTTTATGTATACGTACACATATACATATGTTTTTTTTTTACGGTAAAAACTGAAAGAAAAAAAAAAAAAAAAAAAAAAAAAAAAAAAAAAAAAAAAAAAAAAAAAAAACATCCAAACCAGCCAAAGCCATAAATCGAATTGGACGCTGCGTCGCAACGAAGTACATAAATACCTGTTGGTTGAATCAAGGGTAAAGGGGTCGAGGAAACACTTACGAAGGCACTCCGTGTAACCGTTCTCGGACAAATCCCAACGACCTTCTGGTAAACAAGTGCGCCTCTGATCGCCGATGAGCACAAAGTTTTGATTGCACTCGAAAGTTACCTTCGTTCCCGGGGTGAAGAGGAAGTTGCTCTTGCGCCCGAAGCGCGGCGTTTCAAGGATCCCGCAGCTCACGGCTGCACGGCATCACAACAACGAAAATCATTGTACAACTTACACCCACCCACACACACGCATACACAGGTGACTGCGTTAAATGTACTCACTCCTCTTGCTGTTTGTTTCCCGTATCGTGGTGTAAGAGACAAAGTAGTTGGTCGTGAAATGCGCGAGATCTCGGTTCAAGCTCATCGCGTAGTCGTACTTGCACTGATAAACGTCGCCGCAGAGCTCCTCGGCGCGAATCACGTCGTAAGATCTAAAAAAAAAAAAAAAAAAAAAAAAAAAAAAAAAAANGTGTCGCGCGAAAGGAGACGAGTCAAGGCAGAAAAGAATCCCAGGGAGGTGACCTGCGATCGGAATGACTCTCCCCTCCCCCTTTTTTTTTTTACTACTACCGTTTGTAGGCAGTCGCGTTTCCCGGGAAATCTTTGAGTCGAAAAAAAAAAAAAAAAAAAAATTGTATCAGGCTTTTGAAAAATTTTTTAAACGATAAAAAAAAAAAAAAAAAAAAAAAAAAAAAAAAACATTACATTGAATAAAGGCACTGTATGGATGCACAGAGTATATATGTAATGCCTTACCTGTTGGCGGGCAAAAAGTCTCTGGGATCGACGCGCCACTCGGGCTCGAAGGTCCTGTTGGCGTAGTAGCTCGACGTCCGGCTGAACTCGTGCTTGAACAGGGAGACGCCCTTCCTCGGGTCCTCCCCGCTCTCGAGCAGCCAATTGATGGCAAACTCCTCGTGGACGGATCTAAAGTCGTTGATGTTCGGTAGCCTGGCTATTGTACCGTCCGGGTTGGTGAGGTCGTCGAGGATGTCGTAGCTCCAGTTGCCCAGCAAACCCCTAGTTTTGTTCTTCCGAGGCATCCAATCGTTAGACAAAACCTCTGCTCGTTGATAGTACAATCAAACTTCTTACCATGTAGGTCCAGGGTAGGTAGACCCTGGTCGTCATGAAGCCCTGGTTCTCGATGACCTCGACCCCGGCGCCGGTGTCGAACATAATGATGACCTCGCTCTGATTGAGTATGTAGCTCGGCGTGTGGACCACCACCCCGGCAAAATGTTGCGATTTGAGGGAGGTCCGGTCAAAGTAGACCCGCTCCTTGTTGGCGAACACGTCGAGCCGGTAGCGCCACTGGGCGTGCTGGGGCCTCAGCCGGACCTCGATAACGGCCGAGTTGTTGCCCTGGACGGCGATGGCGGTGAGCTGGGTGGCGCGCACCTCGCCGTGCACGTTGTCGGGCAGTTGCTCGAACCTCGCCTGGACGTCGAGCTTGTCCTTGATGTCGTTGACGCGCACGAGGACAAATTCGCCCTTGCCGTTGAACGTGTACGCCAAATTGTCGAAGGTTATCACGTGCGGGTCGCCAAAGACGGTGCCCACCGCGGGCGCCTGGTAAGCTATACAGTCCTGCGACGGCCGGCGCTCGAATCGGTACGTCTCGCAGCCGACCGCCTGCTCCTCCTGCCAGAGGCAACACGTGTACATTGGCACCACGTCGTGGTACCAGTGCGAGAGCGTCGGTACCTTGTTCGCCTCGTTCCAGGGCAGGTAGCCGAGATTGTGCGAGCGCCGCGGTCTCGAGCCCCACTGCTGATCGTACGTCAGCATCAGCATGTTGTTCTTGTCGTAGCAGCACTGCTGCTCCGACCCGTCGAGGCTATAACGAATTAACCGTGTCGTGTATGTTACTGTTTTTCATTTACATCATAATTGTTTGTGTCGTCATGTATATGATTTATGCACTCACTTGGGCGAGCCAGTGGTGACGCAGTGGACGGCTCCCTTGTTGTAGAAGCAGGAGGGATTGGAGTCGCGGTCGCAGTCGTAGTCGGGCTTGAAGCGGCCCTTGTCGTTGAGCGCGTGCTCGAGGGTGCAGGGGCACAGGGAGACCTCCGCGGCAAAATTTTTCAAGTACCTGTCGTTCATGATCCACTTGTCGCAAAAGTATTGGGGCCAGCGGTGTCCGTACATGCGCTCCCACTGCGGCCCAAAGTACCAAGCCAGGGGAATCGGCTTGCTCCACAGGACGCTTAAATTTTACGTCAATAGTGTCGCTTCTTTCGGTCGTAGGATTTTTTAAACAAGTATTGGCTACTCACGGGCTTATGTCCAGTCCAAAGTACGTTTTGGGATCCGTGAGGTTGATCATCAGGAATCCAAACTGCATGTCGTTGGTGTACGGATTTTTGTTGTCCTTGTAGTTGGCCGGGGTCAAAGTGGCGTATCCCGAGTTTACCAGATTGGGCTGCAAAACAATTTTATTAATTATTTGTGTCACGGAAAAATCTATCGAGTCAAAGGTACAAACACCGACCTCTAGGAGTTGTATGTACTCGAGCTCGGGCCTGATGGTGGTCTCCCGGTAGCCCCACAGGGATATCTGCACGGAGGCGTCGAGGTTGGTCGTCAAGTTCTGGGCGTTCCACGTGATCCTCAGCTCGGCGGGGTCGCGCTCGTGCACCGCCATCGTCTGGAAGAATATCCTTTCGGTCGCGGTGGCCGGTGTTTCTACGCAAAACATTCAAAGTTAACGAAAATACGGCACGTAACAGCAATAATCCAAGAGCTGTACTTGGTAGTATTACCAATGAAAAAGAATCCCTTCCAGTCGTATCTTCCATTGTTGACGGCCACGGCGAAGCGAACGTAGCCCTCGACTTTGACGAATGGCTGAATGCAAATGGCCCGATTCGTGTCGATGATCGTCCCGGTGACCTCCTCCGTGTCGAAGCGGCACCTCACCTTGTCGTTCGGCAGGAAGCACGGCCCCGTTATGTTAACGACCGTACCACCGAGCATGTTGCCGCTCTCCGGCGCAAAGACCAACGGCAGGTTCGCCCCAGCTGCGCGTGTAATTTTCGTTATTTCTTTCTTACTACTTATTTATACCGATTTATATCTTACCTATGTCCTTGTTGCAGTTGCCGAGCATGATTTTCTCGTCGATGCGGAAGATGTGCCTGCCGGGGAAGTTGTTCACCCAGCCCCGACTGGTCAGATCGCGCAGCGTCGACATCTGCGAGTACGGCTTGTACTCGGTGCTGTGGGTGCCGTTGCCGGCATTGAAACCGATCTGAAGAACCGATTTTTTTTTAAATCAAGTATGCTTATCAAGTACAGGTGCATCAATACGAGTGATGAGGATATATCTATACTGACAAAAGCCGGGGTGCCGCCCTCGCCGAGGGTGGTGTCACCACTGGCTTCGGTGTGGGTGGTCCATTGCAGCTCGAGGTAGTTGAATATGGCGTAGGTGTACACCTCGTCGGTGGCGAGTACCAACTGGAAGGTATTGGTGCGGGTGAGGGTGATGTCGATACCACCGGCGAAGGACATGTTCTTCCACGTGACGACGACCGCGTGCTTCGGGATAAAGTTGTCGGCTCCCACGATGCCCTCCCTTATGTCCCAGGTTAGTCGCTCGCGCATCTCAACGCCAAACTGGTCGGTCCTCTTTTGCAGGTCGCGCTCCATTCTGAAGTAGACGCCGGGCTTCCTCTGGTCGATGTCGGTCGGCCGGAGCGTGCCGATCCGACACTTGCTGAAGAAGATCCCGATGAACGAGGGGTCGTTCGTCTTGGGCCAGTCCTTGATCGGGAACACCAGTGGGTAGGTGTAGTGCCCGGGGGGATCGCTGAACTCGAGGTAGCCGTTCACCGACACCTGGAAATCGGCACTTTTTATTACAACATAATACATGTACGTTACATCATTGTGGACGCGATGTATACCGACCCTCGTGTAGTTGAATCGGAAGCCGTAAAATGGCAACTGGAAGTTGAAGTTTTTGTGGATCTGGGGCATGGAGTTGTGGATGTCGCCCTGGTAGTCACCGGTGCCGCTCTCGCCGCCCTTGTCAAAGTACCAGTACATCATTTTCGAGCGTATGTCTAGGAGCCGCTTCTGACTGAGGACGAAGATTGGGTTCGTCTGGTCGGATGGCCGTGGGGCGTAACGGTCCGCCTCCGGCTCGTTGGAGTCTGTAACAGCGCCCTTGTCGTTTTATACATGTGAATGGCTTTCGTATCGACCGCACTGTTCCGGTTTTTGGTGGTTTAATGCGCCAATTCAATTAAATCCTCCCTTCGTCGTCGAAACTTTTGGTATAATTATACAACTTAAAATTTTCGCGTTTTCTGGCACAATTATTACGCGGCAACTTTCTTCATTTGCCATCGAATTTAATTTTCCGCAGTTGGCGCGCGCGTGTCGTTTAATTATCTCGGGCGTTTGGAAAACTGTCCGCAGAAAACTTAATGACCATAACGATCAAAAGTATCGTCATAACATCCTTAAGATTTTTTTTTCTTTTTTTTTTTTTTCAACTTACGAAGAAGTATTCGAACTGAAATGAATCATTTTACGTACAAATTGATGAAGAATAATGTTTAAAAGTAAATCAAATACCATTTGTATGACCTCATTTCCGGAAACTTTTTCACGATTGCACAGTACCGTTAAAAGAATATGCTTGGGAAGGGCAAATAAAAGTTCGAGGAATCGATGTACAGAATAAATAATCTTGACGAAATGCACAATGAACGGGATTCAGCACGAGTTTTAATAAAACAAAAAAGAAAAAAAAACTCGTAGCGATTTTAAATTAATTTTCCCAAAGCCATGAATGAAGAAATATTACGATTCATCGTATTATTAGGAACGCCAGCGAGAGTACACGGGGCATAGAGGACGGAATCGATGATTCAGAAACGGATTCTCACGCGTCGATCGCGAGTGATAAAAACCCCGATGTGCCCAACCGCGAGAGATACCTATAACGTACTGCGAGGTGATAAAAAGACGGTGACGCACCGCAAACAACGCGCTGCCTCATATGTATTGTGATCGCGAGCGCAGGTGCATTTTACATTCCCCTGCGATGCACACGATGCATGAAATACACCCATTGACGTAATAATATAAGCACGATGTACGAAATAACTGCTCGTGATACATTTTGTAGAGCGTCACTTCCTGGTACACCTGAGGTATAGGTAACTATCGAATGACACACGCTTTCCAAAAAAACAGACAAACTTGTACGAAGGAAGGCGCGGCCAACAAGACATCCAAGACGATAAGAGGAGGAGAGGATGTAGTTGCGCGACTCAACGCGCGTCCGTATGTATATACATTACCATATCTCACGTATTTGGCGTTGGCCGGGTCGTCAGCGAGGAACCTGGGCGAGACCGGACCTCGAGTGCCCTCGGGCTCCGGTGGCGCGTAACTGGGGATACCGCGGGTCTCGCTGGCCAAGCCCTCCTCGGCTTCACCCAGATCCTCGAGCTCGCCGGACTTGTTGGCTTCCCGGTCCAGCCCGAAGGTGCTCTCGAAGGTCTCCTGTGCGTAAGTGCCGAGCACCAGCAGTACCAGCAAACCGAGCACCGACTCGCCGGCCGCTCCCCACGTCCGGAGCCGCATTGTGCCAACTTCCAAGCGAGCTGCGGTTGCACCGAGTGCCCGAGTTTTGCGTACACTGGAGGACAAAATAACAATAAATGGTCCAGAAAAAGGTCAAGCTGGACTTTCCATCGACGACGCCTGAGCGCGATCGGTGGGCTCGAAGGTGCGATCGCTTGTCGCAGGAGTTCGAGGAACAACTGAGGAGACGTAAAATCGCTCGCCCAGGTGTACTGGGGTACAAGCCGCAGATAATGCCTGCACAGATAAGAGAAGTATGCGAGCGGAGGGCCGTGTACAAGTGATGATTCCCCCTCGGCTTATCTCCGTTGTTTCTCGCGAACGGCGGATATGTATATGCTTACATGGGTGTGCTCGACGAGCCAACAGCCGAGATACAATATGGTGTGTATGATACAGAGGCGGAACCTGACCCAATTTACCGGAGCAACGGCTCTGTACGTGTGGCATACGCCGTTCGCACCTGTGTCTATTCTTGCTTGTTAATACTGATTTCTTCACTCGCTGCTGAGGCAGTTTGATATGGGTATCGGTAGCCCGCCAAAGATGTTCCACATGCGGTGGAGAGCTAATTTACGTGGATTGATGTTTTTGCATTAATTGTTGTTTATTATATGACTAGGGTACAAACGCATCGATCGAATGAAAAGGCTTTTCTTTTTGTTTTTTTAATCGGAGTAAAAAATATTTGTCCATTTAATTTGAAAAAAACATGATAAATCACTGTTTGTCATTCGTTTTTTTATAAACGTTGATGACTGGTGATGTACAATTTTGTTTTTTGTTTTTTTTTTTTCAACATTTGATGAATAGTTTTGAGGAAAAAAAAACCAATGTTTCCATCTGATTTAGCATTATATACATCTCATGTATATACGTATGTAGTGTATTCACAATATTTTTTCACAAAAAAAAATAATAATTGGTGTTCAAGTCCATACAGTTAAAGAATATGATGGTTAGAAATTGGAGAAAAAAGAAAAGTAACAACAACAGTTGTATGAAAGAAAAATTACGTCTCTTTAAGCAGAGAAAAAGATAAAGGTATTAGTTTACAAAAGTTCATTTTTTTTTTTTTTTTTCAACTATGTGACATATTTTTTTCACTAAAATTGCCGTTGGGATGTACACTTTTTAATTGAAGGCTCGTTTTGGAATAAAATTTTAAAAAAGTAAAATTAAACAGAATATTTTTTCAAAAAAGAAAAAAATTAATCCTATGGTGTGGATGATCGTGAGCCAGCATATTATTTTTTTTTTTTTTTGTACGAATTATTCACAAAAATTATTCAGGTAAATATAACAAATAATGAGTCTATTACGAAGATGATGCATTATCTCCATTAGACTCGAGATAAGTTCCAGAACCATTAACGACAAACGACGTTCCTAATCCATACAGGTGACCACAGTACTTGGCATCGTCGATATTGTCCTCAAAAAACATCTGAAACAATATTTTTTAAATTGAAAACTATAAAACGATTTGCTTGATGACAAAATTACTCACCTCTCTCATTTTAAAGAACACCATTCCTGTCAAAAGTGAATCCGAACCAGCTTGATGCTGTGGCCCCACTCTTTGCAATTCAAGTTGTTCTGCGACTTCTTGTAATCCTCCTTTCAAGTTTTTGCAAGACTTCATGAGGTACTGAAAATATAATTTTTAATGGTACTGTAGCACTTGGATCTAAATTCCTTTTTTGATGAAAAACTTATATTTTTTATACCTTGACATCATAAATTGTTGGAAAATATATCCTCAAAAGTTCAAAGAACTCGCTTTCTTCGTGTGGCAAATTTGAATCTGTCAAAAGTTTTAATAAGTAGCCAAAATCATAACCAGAGTGAAAAGATAACCACTTAATGTCATCAACTAGTACAATTCCTGAAGTCATTAGGAGCTCAGCAAAGTCTAATGGGTCGATTCCTTCTTCTTCGTGTTTTTTAAATTGGATTCCACTATTCTGCAGCATGTCTATACTGTCTTGGGCATACATGTCCTCTCTAAAAATCATTTATAAATTACGCTCAACAGTAAAATTAATTGATACAATACTTTTGCGATAATAAAAAAATACTTACTGAAGGTTGAACTTGAAATTAAACTGCCACGTCGTGTAACCTTGTGGTGTGTTTCCACAGTCATCAAGAAATGTGAGACCAAGTTGTATGATTCTCAAAAGATCTACATTACAACGTAACAACTGATATTGGTAATCCGCACTTGTTCTGAACTCGCCTGGACATGAAAAAGGTGTGTGTCAACAATTTGAATGCAACAATAGAATTGATAGAGAATAGAATTGATTGTATATACAACAACATAAATACCTATTGGTCTTGCAACAACTCCTGGGAATTCTGTATCCATAGCAATGAACTGATACTGCTGAACAACTTGCCGAATGGTCCTGAATTCCTCTTCAAGGTTATGACACCATACATCTCTGATCCCACATTCTTCATTGCTCGGCATATTACTATTGTTAGGCCTACCCTTCTGTTGACCCGAAGGGTTGGCCGCACCTAAACGGTAGGTTTTCACTTTTAAAAATTTGTATTCTCACAGCATATGCAAATAACTTGTCACCTAGTCACCTACTACTATGCTTTTAAATATTGAAACATGCATGAATATTAAGAAAAATATTTATGGAAGCTACTGTATTCGGCAAACATAATAATTGATCAACTACAAAACAACATAGCTGAATGTCAGTATCAGCAGGTATTCTTATCAAACATTCGAGCCAACGCAATCGTGAGCAGCATATTGTTATCACCTGTGGCGGAAGGCATGGAAGTGTTTTTGTTTACAACGGCTTGACGAAAGACGGTCCAATCCAGTTGTCGTTACTTTCGCCACTGTATGCCAACACCTCACATCACTGGAATGAAAAGTTGAATTTAAAAATAAAAAAACTGACCTCTTTAAACGACAGGTAGGTAACGATAACGACGATGGGCTATGAAAATTTTGATTTCAGATCACTTGTCGAAAGCAAGATAACGAATAAGGAAATGCCTGAAATGATTTAATTAATCAAAATGTTTTCTGAATTTCAAGGTTAAGTTTACATTGGGTGTATAGATATAATACGCGAATTCTCTTGCAAGCAGAGCTTGTAACAGGTACACTTGCTTATTCTTAAAACTAATTGTTTTTTCTCACAAAAAAAGTCTGTGAGCGATCGAATAAAGTGAAAAGGTGGCACAGGTATTACGTTATTTGCTTTATAAATCTTACTATACTTATGAGATCTCTTTAGTTGTTGCAAAAGTTTTGGAAAGCGCTCAGAATTACAGACACTAAACTACCACACACAACGTTATGTGTGTTGAGCTGTTGAGCCAAATCAACACTGTTGACACTCTGCATATAAGTACAACATACAAGAAGTGATGGCGTTGATGCTGAATGCATGTATATATTAATAAGCGTTATTGTTGGTGATGTTTAATGATTGATGACTTTATGTGGTCATATAGGAAACGTAAATGCACTAATTGAACATTAAATAAATTATAAAGATGCCGTCAAATGTAATCTCTGATGTTGCTCTTATTATAATTAATTATATATTTATGTTGCCATTAAAATAAAACTACAATTTTAACTATTGTCGTGTAAAAGCTGCTTGATCAAAGCTTGATTAATTGTCAGTGTTGCCTATATCGCCATACGGTGGTAACACATGCAACCGACCGTCGGTAAGCATTTGAGATTCATTTATTGACTCACTGAAAGTAAAGAAGATATCGTACTTACCAGAAGGTGTCAATAACATGTTCGCGGGAGATAAGTTATCGACAGAATAACTTAATAACAAACACACGTGCATGGTTATAGTCTATGCCCCAAAACTGCTATGCAAATAAAATTGCTCCAAAACTGGCTCAAATACTTACGCAAACAGTATCTTCCCTACGTAACGCTATACTTACTACGGTTTATTTATTTAATTCTACTTGTTACATTTCTGCAAGTTTGTGGATAACGTAATTTTTGTGTACTCTTCGTGCGTAGCGATGTCAATATTGATAGGTAAGTAGATATTATTTTATCTTCAATTGAAAACAACTAAAAAGTAAACTTCAAAGTAGTCGTAAAATTTTGTTTGTGGAAATAATACCGATGGGACAAATTAATGTATCGATCTATATCCAGTCAACTCCTATCCGTCGATTTTGGCAAATATTATATTAATGCCTAAATCGATATAATGCACCCGTTCCTAGAGTATAGTTGTATACATTTGTGGGTGGGTACTTATAACGTATAAATACCGATGTTTACCTTCTGCATGCATCTCATGCATACAAGTATAGATAAATTTGCATGGGTGAAGCAAGAGGTAGGTATGTAGGGTATATATTATATACATGATGGGCCAGAGACACGTATATGTACTCTGTGCTTCCTGAGATACCTACGCGCAATGAGTACCTTTTTTTAACGCTTTCGGTCAACAATGTATAGGAGCGCGAGGTGTAATTAATTATAAAATCGGTTCTTTATTTTTTTATATTTCAAGCTGCTCAATGTCCGTTCGAACAACCATCACACCAATCCCGTCATCTTCCCTCCATTGGTATCACTCAGACATTATAAGTACGGTAAGCTTACTTACACGTTTGCAGTAATCAGAGCAAAGTTCATTTAAATATAATTACCCATATCGTTGGTGTATTCGCTTATGGGTGTATATGTATACGTATTTTGTGAACACATTCGCCCACCGTGTTGTAAAGTGCGTGTTCGATCTCACACCACCCCCCCCCCCCTTAAAAATTATTTGCACGTCATATAATGCATATAATCATGTTCCGCACAAGAATCGATTAATCAGTCGTCGCTTCGTAACATTAGCACAAATAAACGCTCACCCACGCCACCATCGACTTATCATCATTAACATTATTATAATTATCGTTGTTATTTTTATTATTATACATTCAAAGTTTCAACGAACTGACTAGTATGCAAAAATGATATCGGCATTGACGTTACATACAAATAATATACTATCATTTTTGTCCGCACCAAACGCGATCGTGATTACTTTGGCATCACCGCTTGCCCCACGTTTTTCCCCTCACCATATTGCAACGTTACGTACATCATAAACACGTACTTCTATATTAGAAATAGTTATCTCAATAATAATAATAATAAAAAAAAAAATATATCAAAAGGCCTCCCCGCTTGCATGCACTGTCCGCGCAACACGAGGAAATTCAGAGACCGCACCAAAGTACAAATACTATATCCTTTGCGGGGTTGTAAGGTACACGTTTACCTAAGCGTGTAGATAATATATATATACATGTACTATGGTATTGTGCGCAGGTATATAAGAGTAACAGAGAGTGCAGTGTAAGCCCAGGCCATCTCGTTAAAGTGCAGTGTATCTTGTTAATTGAAATTCAATTATACACGTCGGCAAATGCATTCCTGGACGTTCCTGGACCTAATCCTCCGGACATATAGGTATATGTACACCTGTACGTATATCCGTATACACACGCATGTATCGGATATACCTGATGGTATAGGTATATATATGTATATATCCTTCCTTCTATTAACGATATATAACGTATAGCACAAAGCTCGTGTCCGAATACCTAGTGTATATATACGTACAAACATCAGCACTCTGAAGCGAAGCTGGGTTTGCACGCCCAAAGCTGGGTATATAATATAATATAATATCCTTAGTTTATGGGAGCTGCGGCGTAGCGGGAAATCAGGTCCTTGCGTTGCAGTACGGGCAGGTACAGGCTCCCTCGAATATCACTGCAGGAGCACTGATTGGGCAAGGTGTCCCCTCGTCACTCCTGTATAAATATATACATGTACCTGCGTTGGTGTAATTATCGGTCGTCCAAAATTCCCGGCGGCTGTTTCATTCTGCCTCGCGCGCCGTGGGCCCATCCAAGGGTACAGGTATAGCCTCAAACAATACACGATAAGCTACTAATCTCTGACAGAAGCGCGCGATCGGCTATCGAAATAAAAGGAAGCACCTTCAGGCACATACATTTTTGACGTACAATAGGCAATGTAATATATTATATCTGCGGGCGGACGCGCAAATACTACACAGGGGGATGTTGTACCTACATCGTTGGGGTATAATATATATAGAACCGAGGCGTGGGAGGGAGAGAGAAAGCGCCAAGTTGTCCGAGCCGGACGCCACCAGTGCTCGGACGGAAGAGCTTTAGCGCCTCGTGGCCCTCCTGATTTACGGCATCTTCCGGTTATACGTGTGTGTGTGTACCTATACGCCCAAGGGTGGAGCAGCGGTCAGCGCGTCTATTTGCACCTCGGCCCAAGCCGCTAATTGACGGCCTTCCTTTCTATTCTCTTATGTAGTATGTATATACATATGCGTATGTGCATTGTTCCTAAATTATTTATTACGTGTGAGCATGGCCTTTTTCGTCTCGATTCCCGGGTAAGCCCAAAGTAACCCGACACGTTAATCATACAACACCCCCTAAAACTTCGGACGGATCGAGAAATAGTGGCAATAATCTCGGTGCACGGTGTGTTATGCAGGGCAAGAGGGAAGAAAAACAAAAAAAAAAAAAAAGAGAGAAAGTGCTTCACCCGGGCCGTCCGATCGTCTCTCGCCTGATTGAATTTCCACGGCGGACCCGTCAAAATATTCCAGGGGGTTGATACGAGTACACGAGCTGCCGTGGATGGAACAAAAACAAAACTCGGGCACGAGTCTCGAATTTCGTTGTACATTATCTGCACATGCGTGTGTTATAATATATATGTAATACTATAGCAGATGTATGTGATGTTACCCAACACCGATTAGGTGATTTACACTCGGCCAGTCGCTGTGTTATACGGCTAAAAAAAACCCACCCCTTACAGAGCTGTTTCTGCGGAACAATGACCACCAGGTATGATATTTTTCTTTTTTTTACAAGTTGAAGAAATTCGCGCGTGGCAATTGATGTGGCGATCCCACCGCGTATTATGTATATAATTATGTATACAGTCGTGCCCTTGGGTGTATTGTATGTGTACACCGTGGCTCCTCGGCCCCCGTTTCGATTCGCTCGCTCCGGCGCAATCGACCCGATTGACTTATCGCCAACATTTACCCGACTCGGCTGCCTCGGGATAACGGGATCCTCATTTCCTTGCCGTTTCTCAACTGCTAACTCTTATTTATCCTCGGCTCCGTCGGCGAGCGGTGAGGGATCATTCCTTTCCGTTCTGCCAATATTGTACCTACACCCTCTTTGGAGTCGGCAGGGCGGTGCACGTATCCACCGCCCTCCGTTTGAATCTGGCAAATTCATCGATACAAAAATAAATAAGGCAAACCCAACGTCAGGGAGAGGAAAATGGGAAAATACTATGTATGGCTTATGTCGATCTTTCGTACGACCCGGGAGCTACCCCCTTTTTTTTCTCGTCTCTTTCCGTGCCTAATTAATTTGTGACCTTTTAAGCATATTTTTAGTATATATACCTCGAGCTCGGCTGGAAATAAGTGTGATTAAAAATTAAAAAAGCCGTTCCTGCAAAGCCTATGCCAAAGTGGAGTTTATGTAGCCAAGAGGAGGGCATTAGTATAATGTGTCAGGGTATAGGGTGAGAGAGAAAATAAATTATAGAGTATTGTACGTGCATGAATTTTATATAAAACAGTGTTATGCATTGTCCTATGTGTAGAGAAAATTGTGATAAAGTGACTTTACACGCCGTTTTCGACGCTTCGACGTTTAGTTGGTTATTCATCGGGCAACCCTTACATAAATTCACCATCCAGACCTCAATTATATAATTATCCGTATGATATACTTTCCAATATTTTTTATAGTATATATACACTTTCCAATTATTTACATGCGTGGAGTTACAGTATATCCCTGTGTCAATAATGTAATGTCGCTCTTAATCCGCAAGCGCTTTACACGCGCGTATCATATTAATTCGCGATTGCGCTTCAATTGAAATTCACACCACGAAACTCGTCAATTGCATGAAATAACACGGCACGTACACAAGATCAAAACGTGAATTTCCCTATGAACCGTATTAATCGAAATTAATGCCGATTTCCTTTGAAGTAACGATTTACGGGTTAACATAAACTTACACGTGTTACAATATCGCCATAGCCACCTTCATCAATTTATCATAAAATCTATTACGCCACTTCACGTGATCGACAAATATTCGATCGGTATAATATCACCA